TTTAATATTTGCCGAATTGAATATCGCGATATATTCAGCTCACGAGCCATTTTCGGCCACTGCGACGCGGTTTTCGATCAAGTCGCTTCTTTACTTTTCGAACCATTTCTGCTGATGTTGCTGTTTTCTTCCCTTCCGTTCACTTCCTTGACTGCGCTACATTGACATCGGACTACGCTACCGCTCACGGTAACGAGCGATTGTACGAGACACAAAAGATTTATTCACATTTAAATGCTGGAGTGCTCTAACGATAGTCACTTGTGATTTTCCAGCCAAATATAAAGAAATCACTCTATCACGCTTGAATTCCATCACGAATAAATTTTTATCCGGAAAATTCTCACCAAAATGCTTTTGTACGCTTGTAAACAATATAATGAGCTGTCACTGTCGGACTAGTGGTTTGGAAATGACAGCAGTCTGAAATTGGTTGCAGTTTTTTAGTTTCACCCTGTATATAGGCAATTTGGGGCACAATTAATTCGAAATCGTTTGAAAATATATGAGAGCTATATCTAAATCTGATCCGGTTATCACCAATTTTAATGGGGTTCGTTATTGGGCCATACAAATATTGTTTGGAAAATTTCAGCTCAATCGGATAACAAATGCGACCTGCGTTTTGTTCACAAAAATACATGGACAAACGAACGGACTGACATGCATAAATCGTCTCAGAAAGTGATTCTATGAAGATCCTCAAAAGTAACTATGGGTCTATCTCGCTTCCTTCTTGAGGATGTTTGCATTTTCTATGCCGTTAAAAAATTATTGATGTTATGCCCGCATACATCGTTTGTCCAGTAAAAAAAACTCATTTTATATATCTGCCCCTTTAATGTGTCCATGGCTGTAGTTGCAAAACATATATGAAATTAAAGGTAGCTAATAAACCTGAATACCCCTAATGCATTACGTTGTGTTTCTGTTTACATTCAAGTCTTCAATGCAGCCGTACACACAAACGCATACGACTTTTTTTTTGGCGGGAATGGGAATATTGTTTTCATTGAACACATCTATCGACTGGCGATGTTCAGTTTGGTTCGTTCAACCTCCTAGAATTTCTGTTCGCCTGTTTTAAATAGAGCTCGATGACGGTTTGATATCGAGAGAGTCAAACGATACGAACGACCGACCATTTTGAATGGTTGTCGTCGGTCGGTCGGTCAGTGCTGTTTGTGTATGTCGCGGCAATTGGTTGGGCGCTAGCTAGTTCGATATGAATGGATGAGTGTGCAGTCAGTTAGAAACAAAATATCATTAAACAAACTGAACACAAAGCCAAATTTTAGCGTTATTTTTTTAAATAAAGAAATGGAAATAAATTAATTTTCGTTATGTTTGTATGTCAACATTTATTAACGAATTCAGAAAATATAATAGAAAAGTTAATAAAATATAAAAACTCCTATTTTTGTGTTAGAAAATAAATCGATTATTGGAAGTTGATTTATTTATTAAAATCAAAAAATCGATTTTTGTGGAATTATATGTATATTTTTGGTCTGTTCCAGAACTGCAAGAATGTAAAAGTTTTCACTAGGATAACCCATGGTACAATAAGGAGGTAGAACAGCTTCGTAAAACTACAGAAATACAGCCCTGATGCTATGCACGCCTCCCGCTTCAAAATTATAGGCAACAAGTTGTTTTCATTTATTTGATATTTTTTGTTCATTTTTCAAATGAGTCAAATAGCGCGAAAACTGAAAAGCCTGGATGTTCTCTCAAAAATGTAATCCTATGTTTTCAACCTTTCTATCCCATGGCAAATCTGATTAATATTATTAATGCGCGCCCCGCGCTCACGAAACCAACGAAAATATTTTGTTTTTATTTTTCAAAACAACAAATACATACACAAATTTGGCAGATGCCGGGCACACTTAAAAAAAGTGTAATCAGCTGGTAGCTTTACCTTACTGTTTTATTGCACCATGGGATAACCGAGTTTCCCTTTTGTGATATCGAAGAAAATTGCAAAACTATTAAGCTGGGAATACATAAAGAGCTTATTTGGCTGGCTTAAGTCATCGGCTGGCTTCTTCGGAAATGAACAAAAGAGCCTAGGGTCAAAATCGAACTAAGTCAACCTAAAACTCCTTTGTTCATCTACGAAGAAGCCAGCCGATGAATTAAGCCATCCAAATATGCTCCTTATGTTTTTCCAGCCTTAGATTTTTGCAGATACTGTAACAGATCATTTATTTATCCAATTAAATACTATCGTTGGTGACGATTTGAATAAGTACAATGCAGAGTAAAAGGTGAGAATACATCAAATGCTTTTTTGACTGGCTTAAGTCATCGGCTGGCTTCTTCGGAAAAGAATAAAGAAGCATAAGGTCAACATCGAATTAAGTCAACCTAAAACACCTTTGTTCCTCTACGAAGAAGCCAGCCGTTGACGTAAGCCAGTCAGAAAATGTGTTTTATGAATTCTCACCTTAAGGGTTGCTTAACCAATTTAGAGCTATTTGTATGTCTTCAAATATGTTTTAGTATCCAATTTTGTCCCTAAATGACTCTATAGTGGAATAAGCATTATAGACTTGGCTCAACCAGCTTAACTTCAAGAAGCTACGAAAAATGCAACTCTGTAACGAAATCTTATAGTGTCAAATATTTTTTTACATTTTTTAAACAAATTTCTTATATTAGGGAAAACCCCCAAAGTATGGAATTGCACAAAATTGAATCTAAAGGTGGGAATACCTAAAGCGCTTATTTGTTTGGCTTAAGTCATCGTAGAGGTACAAGGGAGTTTTAGGTTTACTTAGATCGATTTTGGCCTTAGGCTTCTTTGTTCATTTCCAAAGAAGCCAGCCGATGCCTTAAGCCAGTCAAATAAGCGCTTTATGTATTTCCACCTTAAGATATTAAGACAACAAAGTTTTTGGCCAATATTTTACAATTCTCTGAGATAATATCGAATTATGTTATTTTTTATTTAAAACAATACACACTCATATACAAATTGTGTATATGTTTTGACAGAAAAGGAGCACCAAAAGAAAAAAACGATTAAAAAACCAGTAAGAACTTTTATTACTCTCCAACTTTTGGAAAGAATTTGGAATATTCCAAAAAAAAAAAAAAAAATTCCATTACAAATTTTAAAGTAGCCGTCATATTGGGGCCTATACGAAGACGTAGACCTGCATAGCCAACTTTTGTCATAAGCCATTACAATATTCAAATAAAATAAAATAATCAAAATACCTTATATTGTGAGTTACTGTTATATGGAGGCTCTCGGAAGACGTGGACCTGCACAGACAATTTTTTGTCATAGGCTGTAATATACATTACGAACTTCAAATATTAAATTCGAAACATTATGTATAATGTCGCTAAAATCGTCAAAATACCAAATATAGGAAGGTTCTGATATATGGGTCCTACACGAAGACCTGGACCTGCATAGACAATTTTCTGTCATAGACTATAGTTCCTATTACGAACTCTTAATACGAAATTTGAAACAACTCCGGTAAATAATGTCGCTAAACGCATCAAAATACCGAATATTGGGAGGTACCGTTATATCGGGGCTATACCAAGACATTTGCCTGCATATGCAATTCTTTGTTCCAAATACCAAATTTTAAACAATTTCGGTGAAAAATGTCACTACAATCGTCTGACAGTACCGTTGTATGTGGGCTATACGATATCGTGGACCTATATAGACAATTCTCTTTCTGGGAGTGAAGTACTCATTTTGTGGATTTTCAGAAAATTTTATTGAAAAATTTGGGTATAATCATTAAAATACCGAATATCGAGGGTACCGTTATATGGGGACTATACGATATCGTGGACCTATATAAGCAATACTCTTCCAGTGGGTGAAGTACTCAGTACTCAGGGATCTCCTTGTGTAGAATTTCAGACAATTATATTGAAAAGTGTGCCTAAAATCATCAAAATCGGGGGGTACCGTTATGTGGGACCCATACGATATCGTAGACCGATATAGCCCATCTTCGAACTTAACCTGCCTGCACACTAAGGGCTGTGCAAAATTTTGGCTCCTATCTCAATTAGCAGAGGGACGGGTGGACAGGGCTAAATCGTCTTAGAATTTTGCGCTGATCAAATTTTATTAAATGAAGCAAAAAATGTCGGAACTACCATCAAATTTAAGAATAAGTTTAAATTTGTTCGAATTTGTTCTGGCACGAATTATGGCCTTCAAACGGCCAATGAAACCGTCACACTTGCTTGAGGTGATCGACGCTTTGGTATTTTTTAGTGTCAATCTTGCTTTTCAAAATACTCCAGACACAATAGTCCAACGGATTGTTATCCGGAGATTTTGGTGGCCATTGTGCACTGTAAATGAAGCGAGGGACCTAATGTTGTACCCATTCTTGGGTGGCGCGTGTTGAGTGCGTGCCCAAGGCTTTAATACACCCTCCAGAATATTTTCGCTATAATATTCGGCATTTATTCTGATGCCACGGTCGATTAATATGAGGGGAGTACGACCATCGGATGTGCACATTTTAAGCAGACCTCTTTGACAAGTAAACAAAATCATTTTGTTTGTTTACAAACTGCTCTGCTGGACAACGAATGTTTTCTCATGGGAGAAAACCAAATTCGGCAGTTCATCACTTTCAGCCAAGCGAAGCAACTCTTTAGCTCTTTTGAGTCTATTTTCTTTCTGTTGCGGAGTAAGTTCTTGCACTTTTTGGTATTTTAATGGCTTTACCCCGATGTATGTATCTTGTTATGTCTAAAAGTATTATTTCATATTACATCCGGTGGGTTTCTCCTTTGTACCCCTTGCATATTCTGGAACAGTGGATAAGTGTACCCATTCGATTTGCGCTGCTATTATTCAATTGAATTGCTCTAAGTTCAGTGTAAACGTAGCAAGAATAATCGTTAAACAGCTGTAAGTCGGGCTAATCGATACAGTGAATAATCGATTGTCATATTATCGAATAACATAAAAAGACGATACGTTTTGTTATGGTTTTTGTTCGATTGGTCGAAAGTAGACCTACACATCCCTATTTTTACCGCACGTGTTTGGTTTGATTTGTCGGTGCAGTGCATGCTGGAAAGTAAATTTTTGAAGTAAATCTAATTTCTGTGCCCTATTAAACCCCTAATTCCCAAAATGTCAGACAAGTAAGTGTGGCTTGAATTTCCCCACGGAGATTAATTATTAATTGGCCTTTTCCCCTCCCAAAGATATGCCGTGCCGAATAAATTGCCTGGCAAAACCGTATCGGTTTTGGCCCATCGCAAACGACGTATTTTGCAGGATAAGGCCACTTTGGAACAAAAGAAAAAGTTGAAAACCCAACGTGTAGCCAAAGCGAAGCAACATCACAAATTCCGTAGAGCTGAATCGTTTGTTATGAATTACCTGAAAGCAGAACGTACCTCGAATCGTATCAAACACACACTGCGCACCACGAACATTTGTGACACCAACGATTCGACAAAAGTCAATCAGAAACTGTTGCTGGTTATGAGACACGCTGGCAAGAAGATTTTCGATGAGACAACCAACAAAATTATGAAAACATTGGGTTTGACAAATCGCCATCATACCGTCTTCTTGGAGAATAGTAAAGAAAATCAAATTTTGTTGAAAGTTATTGAACCATTTGTGGTGTATGGTTTCCCAAACATTGCTACGATACGTGATTTGGTGTTTAAGAAAGGATTCGCCACAATCAATGGCAAAAAGACTCCGATTCAATCGAATACCATGATTGAAGAGCAATTGGGTGATAAGGGTATCATTTGTCTGGAAGATATTATCCATGAGATATTCACGGTGGGACCAAACTTCAATGCTGTCAAAGATTTCCTGTGTTCATTTTTGGTGAGTATTTTAAAGAAGGAGGTATAGTGGTATAGAGGTTTATGGAATGTTTAGTTTTATAGTGATATATGTTGGCCTACCAGGCAAGGAGAGGTAAATTAAGTGCTTGAACGGAAAGTTAAAGAAATTCATGGAAGATTATGAAAATACTCTCACAAGAAATTTGGCTCTGTATTTTGCGTTAAGAAAGGGGTGTAAGAATTAGCTTCATTTTTTGCCAGTTTTTTTTTATATTCAATGACTTAAGTCGGTTTTCAGACACAGACAATTTTTTTTAGAATATTTTCCCAGAGGTAGGCTCTTGTGTCCGGAACACAACAACATATATTTGATATGGGGAATCCCATATCTCCCGATTTACAAGCTTTTACAAGTCGCAAGAATATTTTGGTCTCAATGGCGGATTGTTGATTTGGATCTGTACATAAATTAATAGTGAGTTTCAGTATGGAGGGTATATTGAGTTTGTCATTCCGTTTGCAACTCCTCGAAATATACATTTTATACAAAGTATATATATTCTTCAGCATAAAACTCTATGTCGATTTAGCGATGTCCGTCCGTCTGTGGAAATCACTCTAGCGTCCGAACGAATTGAAGTAGATTGATAAAATTTTACTCAAATGTATATTATGTCTGCAGGACTTTTGGTATTGAAAATGGGCCATGTAGGTTCACGTTTTGGTATATCCCCTTATAACGGTACCTCCCTATAATCGGTATTTTGATGATTTTGTCGACAATATTCATCAGAATTTTCTCAAATTTGGTATTTGATGTTCGTAATGGGTGCTACAGCCTATGACAGGAAATTGTCTGTACAGGTCTAGGTCTTCGTATAGTCTCCATATAACGGCAGCTCCCGATATTCGGTATTTTGATGATTTTAACGACATTATTCACCGGAATTGTTTCAAATTTAGTATTTTAAGTTCGTAATGGGTACTACAGCCTATGACAGAAAATTGTCTGTGCAGAACCAAGTCTTCGTGCAGAACCTCCTGATATTAGATATTTTGATGATTTTAGCAACATTATTCAACGAAATTGTTTCAAAATTTGGTATTTGAGGTTCGTGATGTCCATGAGGTTCGTGATGTCCGTGCAGGTCCACGCTTTGGTACCTCCCGATGTTCGGTATTTTAATGATTTTAACGACATTATTCACCGGAATTGTTTCAAATTTTGTATTTGAAGTTCGTAATGGCTGTTACAGCCAATGACAGAAAATTGTCTGTCCCCCATACATCGGTACCACCCGATATTCGGTATTTTGGTATAGCCTCCATATAATGGTACCTCCCTATATTATTTTGATGATTTTAGCTAGATTATTCACCGGATTTTTTCAAGTTTCGCATTTGAATATTGTAATGGCTTATGACAAAAGTTGCTTATGCAGGTCCACTTCGTCGTGTACACCCCAAAATAACGGCTACCTTCGGTATTTTTGAGATTTTAATAGAATTTTTAACGGTTTAATTTTTTGAAAATTGCCAAATTCGTTCCAAATGGTGGAGGGTATTCAAAGTTCGGCCCGGCCGAACTTACAGCTTTCTTACTTGTTTGAAATCAATAGGACTAATCATTTGGAATACAAGAAAGTAAATCGAGTAGTCCATCTACAGATACCCGTCCGTCAGGAATGTCCAATTTAGATAAAGGACCCTTATTCGTTATTTTAATAGTTGTCACTACATTTTTTTAATTCATTCTTCTTTTTAATGTCATGTAGGTCAATTAGTGTTGTGTTGGCCATTGCCATTTTGAATACCTCTCATGATTAGGTGTCGATAGGGGACTGACAAACCCTCTGTTCCAATATCCTCATTAAGAAACAAATGAATTGTGTTGTTTAGTATAGAAAGAAGTACCTAAATTGAGAATAAATGTTTAGCTCCCCAAGGGGAGTTTTTAATGATTGATGGATTGTACACAATTATTCTAATAATCAAACTTTTCTCTTCTGCAAATCAAAAATGTCTTGTATGATAATAAAATTGGATTTATAATAAATATATAAATTTTAAATCTTATATTTATGTTTCTAACACATTACAATTTTATCTCTAATTTTAGTTATCAAGTCCCCGCGATGGCTGGAAAAATAAGGTATCGGTTGCATACAAACGCGGCGGCGAGTATGGAGATCGTGGTAATGCTATCAATGAGTTGATACAACGTTGTATATAAGAAATTCAAAGCTTTTCTTTTATTTTATATTTGGATTTGATTTTATATAAATAAATTTTTAGCGTTTAAGTGTCTCTTATATAAAAGAAAAAAAGTATGTAGTTATTTTAATAATGAAAAAGAAAAAACAATTAAAATAATTTTAAAACAAAACACAATTTTTATGTACTTTGAAAACAACTTTATATTGCTACTAGTTTAGTTATAAAGGAAGAATATGATATGATTGTATAAATACACTTAGAAAATCGAGTAGGTGCCGAGCTTAGAAGACTGGGGGATCCCTTATGAAGTGTAACTTTACAAGGAAATAAAGCCATGAACAAATGTTATTGTTATGTCGATATAAGAGAAGATTCCCTCCCCCATTATGAGGCGATACCCTTAATAGTTTTAAGGGCAGCATTTTTGTACCTACATATACATGTGTTGTTTTGTCTGACACACATAATCCAGGTGTCCTCATTGAGGTGATCCACACTGCACTTTGGGCACAACCGGCTGCAACTCAAAGTCCTTTTTTCTGCGTCATTTGCACATTTCTCTACATAGTGTCACAAAGGAATGAAGTTCAGACCGGAACAGCAGAGTTAAGAACTGAACAGTTTATGGCTTTTGTATCGTTGGTTCCAGCAAGTGCTTTGAGGACTTTAGTCCTGGACTTCAATTTCTGGCTAGTATAGGCGACGTGAGAAGAGCAGTAAAGAGAAGGTTGTGAGATATAAAAAATTGAAAAAAATGGATGAAACAATTCCATTTTACGGAACATCCAATATGATTTTGCAGTATTTGTCTAACATTAAGGCAGATTACGAGCCGACGCTTTACATCATTTGAAAGAGTGTGTTTCAGGATGTTGCATATCAGTATGGAATGTTCGGATGTGTAGAGCGCTTTGGGGGCGATCAAGAGCAGGCATAATTTGCCATTCTGGCCGGCTGCCCTGATTTGAGATGAAAAAACTGTAACCAACTTCATACTGCTGTCATTTCTCAGCCACTCGCCCGACAGCTGTTAAAATTATTCCAGTGACAGCTCATTATATTGATTACAAGCCTACAAAAGCATTTTGGTGAGAGATTTCCAGAAAAAAAAGTTATTCGTGATGGAATTCAAGCGTGATAGTGTGAATTCTTTATATTTGGGTGGAAAACAACAAGTGGCTTTCGTTAGATCACTCCAGCATATATGTTTTGTGTCTCGTACCATCGCTCGTTACCGTGATATTGTAGCGTAGCCTAACGTCAAGCAGGTGGTCAAAAGAAAACAGCAACATCAGCAGAAATGGTTCGAAAAGTAAAGATGCGAATTGATCGAAACCCGTCATCGCAGTGGCCGAAAGATGGCTCGTGAGCTGAACATATCGCAATAGTCCATTCTGCAAATATTGAAAAATGAGCTCGGGGTAAAGCCATTGAAATTCCAAAAAGTGCAAGAACTTACACCGCAACAGAAAGAAAATATACTCTAAGGAGCTAAAGAGTTGCTTTGCTTGGCCGAAAGTGGTGAACCGCCGAATTTGGTTTTCTCCGATGAGAAAACATTCGTTGTCCAGCAATTTGTAAACAAACAAAATGCATCTTCAGTTGGCCATGGCGATGGTGTGGGCCGCCATAACAGCCGATGGTCGCTCTCCTCTCGTTTTAATCGACCGTGGCATCAGAATAAATGCCGAATATTATCGCGAAAATACCTTGGAGGGTGTATTAAATTGCCCAAGGCAAACATTTTGGCCGCAGACCTTGGACATTTCAACTCAGCACGCGGCACCCAAGAATTTTTTCAAATTCCGTATCTGAAATTCGTAATGGATACTACAGCCTATGCCAGAAAATTGTCAGTGCAGGTCCATATTTTATAACCCCCATGGTACCTCCCTATATTCGGTATTTTGATGATTTTATCTACATTATAAACATATTTTCTTCTAGTTCCGCATTTGAATATTGTAATAGCTTATGACAAAAGTTGCCTATTCACGTCCACGTTGTCGTATAGACCCTTATATACGGCTTCATTCGGTATTTTTAAGATTTTAACAGCATTATTTAACGGATTTTATTTTTTTTTTTGAAAATTGCCAAATTTGTACCAAATGGTGGTGGGTATACAAAGTTGGGCCCGGCCGAACTTACAGCTTTTTTACTTGTTTTATCTCACCCTGTATTTGAACTTTTGGCCTCGACATTGGACAAAGACTTCCCATTCTGGACGACTGCGCTGATTTAAACCATCTGAAAACTCCTGCAATGCTGTACTTGTTCTACGCGTCCCCGAAACGATATTGGTGAGCACCAAGATCGAAGTGCTCTTTCAGGGACGGTGGTTACAATGATTCTAAAGCTCTTGTTACGGGACAGGAAATTTTGCGGCAGTGTTCTCCATCGGTAGCGGATTTATAGATTTCAGAATCGGAATTACACGGCCTACATTCCAAATATAAAGGAACAATCAATTAACTAACTGATAATTCTAAGATCCTGGTCAGGTAACCCAAATCCATTGCACCCACCTTCTTTAACATCAGCGTTGATATACGATCTGAGTCAAAAGGTTTGATCTGGTTTGGTGAACCCGTTGAATTAAGGTCAATTTACTTAGCTTTGATAAAGAAAATCACGGCGTTCCGAGGTTATTTACTCAGGCAATATGTTAATGATAATGTGCCGATGGTTATGTCTGGTGAACTGCGGTAAAGAATCACATTTGGAGAGTATGAGGTTAGCTTAAAGGATGCGCCGTTGTATAAACAACCACTCCACTCGGAGACCAATTGGTCCATTGTGTTCATCCTAATTTAAGAAGATAGGAGAATAGAATATAGGGGAAAGAAGAAAATGAATAACGGATAGTGAAGAAGCGAGAATCTGAATAAAGAGTAGATAAATTAGTAGGTTTGCATCCACGGTGTATCAGCGTGTCGTCCTTAGCCATTTTAGTCTTCTGGCTAACTGAAGAATGAGAGGAGAGGGAGGACAAGTCTGCAGAATTTACTTACCCAGTAGCCTCTGTCTCACACCTATAAGAGTTGGGCAGTGGCAGAGTAAGTGCTCCACCGTCTCAGTTTCTTCCTCGTCCTGACAAAGCCTGCAGTATTCAGTGTTGTTACCTCCCCCCCATTTGGATGTCATGGCCTTTATGTTGCAGTATCCTGTAAATAGGCCCACCACAAGCTTGAAGTCCAGCTTCTTCATGGATATGACTGACCTTATTCTTCTTTCGGAGTTCACCGGCCAAATCTTTTTGGAGTCATTACACCCCCTTCCAGTTAACTAGTTCTGATAAAATTTCACAAGATAATGCTTATGCAGTACTTGGAAGGAGTGACAAGGGTGGCTTCACTGAGCTCTTATTCTCTAGATCTACTGACCCAGATCCGCAGTATACAGGGACCCAACAGAGTCTGACAAACGATTTAACCTTTTCCAGACCATTCCTGCATTCCAGAACTTCCATAGATTTGATTGTAAATGAATTTAGAGCCTTCGGGGCCGCTTGACTATCGACATATATAGTCACCGTCCAGTTCACTGATTCTATTTGCTAGTAGCTCTATGGCCTTCCTGACAGCAAAGACTTCTGCCTGAAAAACGCTAGAGTCGTTGTTTATTTTGAAGGATTGTTGGATACTTAGACTTTAACAGTAGACCCCATCTCCCGTTCCACTTTCAATCTATGAATGACGGAGTGTCCAAATGGCTGACTCCGCCATTGTCCCAGTTCATTGAGTCGCAGGGCACACCTAGAAGCTTGTTCCTCCTAACGATTTTAAATTGAGTAGGGTGTCTAGTGTGGATTGGGGTATGCTCCTAAACGCGCCTGTAATTAGTAGCGATTCAACTCTTTGGACTTTATCGACGCTTTCACTGAAGGTAGTTTTCCCTAAGGAGTGCCATCAAACAAGCCCCCCATAGGTTAGAATTGGTCGGACGACTGACTCATTTAACCATTTGATTATGTGAGGCTTAAGTCCCCAGTTTTTTCCCTCGGAGTTTTTGCAGGAATAAAGTGCTATTAAGCCCTTCTTCGCTCGCTCCTCGATGTTCCTCCTCCAGCTTAGTTTCTGGTCTAGGACGGTACCGAGATATTTGGCTTCCGAAGAAAGGCTTATTGGTAGCGAAAAGTGTGGGATTTTCCGCTTCCTTGTGAAGAGTTCGAGCTCAGTTTTTGATGGGTTCACGCCAAGTCCATTACAGCGTGACCGTCTGGAGAGTTGGAGAGTATTGACTCGGACTTACTTTTGATGGGACGAGTGCACCTTCAATGGTCTCCAAATCCATTTTCTTGCATTTTAGATTTTTTCGGAACCTAGGTAGTCCCAGTTCAAATTTACCAGAAAGAAAAGTAAGTGTTGAGGGTCGGGGGTTAATGTGGCTTATTTTTCAGTTCAACCCTCAGAAACAGACTTTTTCCAAAGGCCAAATGAATTGAGGCTTACACGGTAAACAGACGCGGAAAGTTTGAGAAAAAGAAAAAAAGAAGAGTTTTATGGGAATGAACGGAATGGGACTGGTAAAAAACAATTCTTCGTTTGTCTACTCGTTCTCTATCTCAAAAAAAAAAAACTCACATTTCTTTTTTGGAAAATAAATTGAAATATATTTTCAAAATAGAGAAATCGTCAAATAATTTAAAAAAATCTATTTTTATTCATTCACCCCTCTTTCATGGAGACATTTGATTTCTCAGGCGATCAGGATCGCCCTCTAATAGAATATCAATCGATTTCATCGCAATGTTCCGAGGAGATAATAGAACGTCCTGAACGTTTACACGAATGGTTGAAAGCGCATGAAATCGAACAGTTGCATGAACGTTTTGTGGTGAAACACAAGCTAAGCTATGACGAATTGCGTGAAGAATTGGAAAATCTCAATATCACCTTTAACGACTTGGAATATCAGCGATTGTTTTTGAAAATCAATCAAAATCGTGATTTCAAATGTGATTGGAATGAATTTGTATCGTATTTGATATTTGGTTTTCAAGATGATGATCCGGCCGGGCAGAAGGAGGCTTTGACCTTGCCCATATCTTCGCCACCAATTGTGAGGAAATCGGAACATAAGTCGACTGTTTGTTGTATAAGTTTAATGAAAGTGTGTTCGGATTATTTGTTGAATGAGGCAGAGGAGCCGGAGAAGTCTGAGGAAGCGGAGGGTAACGCCAGTGGTGATGATGATGAAGATCTGGATGAAGAGGCCCTAGAATTGAAACGTAAATTGGCCAGTTTGTCGGTGAATGATACACCGGATAATACCGGGGTTTGGATAACCGGAAGTAAGGAGGGCCAGATACGTTTTTGGACGCCAAACTTGGAGCCACTGCGCAGTGGCATGTCGGAGAGCAGTAAGTTGAACATTTTTTTGGGAATCTCAAAATTCTTTAACATTTCTTTTTAAAATCTCCTCTGCCTCAACAGTCCACTTAAAAATGTCCACCTGGATTTTGGCAGTGCAGGCCCTTTCAGATGTCAGCATTGTTTGTACCTCCTCCACAGAGCGAGAATTACGTTTCCATGAAACCATAGCCTCCACCTTTACTCTGCGGATTGTAGTGCGCAGCATGCCCTTTGCCGTATGCTGTATGTCCTACAGCTTCTATCCGAATGGGCGAACCAATTCTCGCCTCATACTAGGAGATTATGGTGGCAATGTTCGCATTTTAGAATTTAATCCCCATTTAAGAGGACCATTTCAATCGAAACCTGGTGCGGCATTAGTTGAAGTCTTTTGGTCGGATATACTCAAGGTGAGGAAAGAAGAGCGGAACAGATGGGCATTTTGATTTTAAAATTTCTTTGGTTTTTTAGGGAAAACTTCCCCAGTTCATTGTCCATGAATATGCCAACATCCACAGCGAACTTATCCAACAGACTTTCTATTCGATGCGTTTGAATTCTTTATTCTCAGCTGCCGAATATCGCAATACCAAAAAATATCGCGGACGATGTCCAGGCCTCATTGTGGCCAATGGGGAGGAGAGAACGATTTTTCGTATACCATTGGTAGGTTGGAATTCGTCTCTTTTTTAATTTTCCTTTTTGCGAAAAGGTCAGGATCTCCCCGCAAATAAAAAAAAAATAGAGAAATAATTAACTGATTGAGAATCAACGTCCAGACGAAACGGCTGAGGCTAGAATCTTGAAATTTTGCACGAGGACCCGTCCTGGTGCGTAGGCGTGTGATAAGATTGGGTTTTCGGAAATTCGTACTGAAAGGATACGAAAAGTCCGAAAGTGTACTTAAAATTAAATACTTTGTATTGGACAAATGGAGAATTTTGAAATTTGAATTTAGAGTCACTGATGGCGTGCAAAATAGATGTAGCAAAGGGTTTTTAGAAATTCAAACTTTAAGGTTACAAAAAGTTCTGAAATGGTACCAAACTTCTAAAATGGTACCATTTGGTATTATTTGAACGGATAGAGCTAAAAACTTGAAATTTAGAATGAGAATCAAGGTTGGAAAGTAAGTTTGATATATAAAGGTGGTTTAGGAAATATGTACCAAGTGTGCGAACTGTACTAAATGGTACTAAATTTGCAACAATACGATTAATGGTCAATGGATGAAGCTGAAATTTTAAAATTTTGTATTGGGGTCCCTGTTGGTGGTTGGTTTGTGATAAAGAGGTGATTTTGGAAATGGGTACTACAAGTTCGCGAAAAGTATTAAATGGTACTATTTTTGGTACAATTTGGTATATGAAATTTGGCATTAGGGTAGCTGTTCAAGTGTAGTCAGGACACATGGACTTGGTTTCAGAAATGTGTACTATAATTGTACGAAAAGTACTTAATGGTACTATATTTGGTATTGGGTGAAGGGATAAAGATTAAACTCTGAAATTTGATATTTAGATTACTGATGGTATCTGGAATTGAGATATGGTGTGAGTTTCGGAAATGCGTCTTATATTTGTACGAAAAGTACTAAATGGTACTAAGTTTGGTTGTTGGGTGAAGGGATAGTGCTGGAAATATCAAATTTGATATAGATGTCACTGTTGGTGTCTGTGCTTAAGACATGGAGGTAGTATTGGAAATGTGTACGATAGTTGTTCGAAAAGTACAAAATGGTACTAAATTTGGGTGTGCAATAAATGTATGAAAAGTACTAAATGGTACTAAATTGGGTACTAGGTGAAGGGATAGAGCTGGTATTCTGAAATTTGATATAGATGTCATGGTTGGTGTTTGTGGTTGGACGTGGTTTTTGAAATGTGTACTTTAAAAAGTACTAAATGGTATTAATTTTGGTATTGGGTGAAGGAATGTGGCTGGAATTATCAAATTCGATATTGAGGTATCTGTTGGTATCTGGTATTGAGATATGAAAGTGGTTTTGGAAATGTGTACTATAATTGTACGAAAAGTACTAAGTAGTACTAAATTGGGTATTGGGTGAAGAGATAGAGCTGGAATCCTAAAATTTTATATTGAGGTCTCTGGTATTGAGATTTGGAGGTGGTTTGGAAATGCATATATTTGTACGAAAATGTACTAAATAGTGTTAAATTTGGTATTGTATGATGGAATAGAGCTAAAATCCTGAAATTTAATATTGAGGTCTCTTTTGGTATCAAGAATTGAGATATGAAGGTGGTTTTGGAAATGTGTGCTATAATTGTACAAAAAGCACTAAATGCTACTAATTTAAGATTACAGTTGGTATCTGGGATGGAGAGATGTAGATTGTTAGATATACAACAATGGTATGACAAAAACTAAAAGGTTCTCGTCAAGAGGAGAAGAATTTTTAAAGTTTAGGACTTCCTAACGAATACAACCTCTTCTGAAGTCTTTTATTGAGGAGAACCTCTTCTAAGGTCTTCTAAGAAGAAACTTTGTTTGAGGTCTTCTATAGAAGAAGGACCTCATTTGAGGTCTTCTATAGAAGAAGGACCTCATTTGAGGTCTTCTAAAGAAGAAGGACCTCATTGAAGCTCTTCTACTGAAGATGACCTCATTTGAGGTCTTCTATAGAAGATGACCTCATTTGAGGTCTTCTATAGAAGAAGGACCTTATTTGAGGTCTTCTATAGAAGAAGGACCTCATTTGAGGTCTTCTATAGAAGAAGGACCTCATTTGAGGTCTTCTATAGAAGAAGGACCTCATTTGAGGTCTTCTATAGAAGAAGGACCTCATTTGAGGTCTTCTATAGAAGAAGGACCTCATTTGAGGTCTTCTATAGAAGAAGGACCTCATTTGAGGTCTTCTATAGAAGATGACCTCATTTGAGGTCTTCTATAGAAGATGACCTCATTTGAGGTCTTCTATAGAAGATGACCTCATTTGAGGTCCTTTACAGAAGAAGACCTCATTTGAGGTCCTTTACAGAAGAAGACCTCATTTGAGGTCCTCTATAGAAGAAGACCTCATTTGAGGTCCTCTATAGAAGAAGACCGCATTTTAGGTCCTCTATAGAAGAAGACCTCATTGGGGTCTTCTACAGAAGAAGACCACATTCGGGGTCCTCTAAAGAAAACGACCTCATTTGAGGTCTTCTATAAAAGAAGACCTCATGCGAGGTTTTCTAGAGAAGATGACCTCATGTGAGGTTTTTTAGGGAAGATGACCTCATTTGGGGTCTTCCATAGAAGAAGCACCTCATTTGAGGTCTTCTATAGAAGATGACCTCATTTGAGGTCTTCTATAGAAGATGACCTCATGTGAGGTCTTCTATAGAAGATGACCTCAGTTGAGGTCTTCTATAGAAGATGACCTCAGTTGAGGTCTTCTATAGAAGATGACCTCAGTTGAGGTCTTCTATAGAAGATGACCTCAGTTGAGGTCTTCTATAGAAGATGACCTCAGTTGAGGTCTTCTATAGAAGATGACCTCAGTTGAGGTCTTCTATAGAAGATGACCTCAGTTGAGGTCTTCTATAGAAGATGACCTCAGTTGAGGTCTTCTATAGAAGATGACCTCAGTTGAGGTCTTCTATAGAAGATGACCTCAGTTGAGGTCTTCTATAGAAGATGACCTCAGTTGAGGTCTTCTATAGAAGATGACCTCAGTTGAGGTCTTCTATAGAAGATGACCTCAGTTGAGGTCTTCTATAGAAGATGACCTCAGTTGAGGTCTTCTATAGAAGATGACCTCAGTTGAGGTCTTCTATAGAAGATGACCTCAGTTGAGGTCTTCTATAGAAGATGACCTCAGTTGAGGTCTTCTATAGAAGATGACCTCAGTTGAGGTCTTCTAGAGAAGATAAGGTCTTCTATCGAAGACTTCTTCTATCGAATTGAAGATGACCTCATTTGAGGTCTTCTATCGAAGATGACCTCATTTGAGGTCTTCTATTGAAGATGATCTCATTTGAGGTCTTCTATAGAAGATGACTTCTTGGTAGGTCTTCTTTCGAAGATGACCTCATTGAGCACTTCTATAGAAGACAGACCTCATTGGAGCCTTTCTATAGAAGAAACCCTCATTGGAGCTCTTTTATGGAAGACCTCATTGAGGATTTTTATTGGAGCTTTTTTGTAGAAGAGGGACCTCATTGGGGCTCTTCTATGGAAGAAGGACCTCATTGGAGTTCTTCTTTAAAAAAGACCACGGTTGAAGTTTTCTATTGAAGAAAGCCTCGTTTAAGCTCTTCTGGAAGACCTCATTGGGGTTCTTCTATTTGTGCTCATTGCAGTTCTTCTATAAAAGAAAGAGCTGGAAGACTCTCATTGGAGATCTTTTATGGCAAAAGGACCTCATTTGGAGCTCTTCTATAGAAAAGGACCTCTGCCTTCTTTCATAAAATACGACCTCTTCTAAGGCATTCCGTAGAAGAGGACCTTTTATAAAAACTTAAATGGATGGCTTCATCGGAGGTCTTTTACAGAAGTCCTCTTCTAAAGTCTGCCGCCCTTTTTGTAAGTCGTCTATAGCGGAGGGCACTTCGGAGGCTTTCTGTATTTAAAACATCGTTGGTGCTTTGTTATAGACTATCTCATTTCAGCCGTTTTTTTGCAAGATCTCATAAAAGTTCTTCTTTAGAGTATGATTTGAACTCTTCTGTAGTCGAAGACTTGATAGTTTCCATATCAGAGTACCTTTTCTAGGGTCTTCTATAGAAAAATATATCTTTTCTGATTTTCCTACAGAAGACCATTTTATAACTCTTCTAAAGATGAATCCGGCTTGTCCAGATCTGCCAAATTAGATTCTACTTGTTTCGAACACAAAATACCTTGTGCTTGCAATTTTGCTTGAAAACGTAGCCAGAATCCTTAAAATACCTATAATTGGGTGATGTAGTTATTTGGGTGGGTATTTCAAAATCTGGAGGGGAATTGTTTCTAACAATAACTATTTAAAAATATCCAATTGCATCCTCTTCGGTGGGAAAATGTGAAGAGGCCTCTTAAAGCACTAATATCGGTCGGTACCCCAATATGGCGCTTTTGGAAAAATATGGACCTCTGTTGAAATTTTTAGTTGGGAGAGAGTTTCCAGAGAATTAGGAAATATTTCTTAATTTTAGTTATAGGAAATTGTGGATTCGTGCTGAAATATTTCTACAAGGATAGATTCTACCGAACCCTAGATTTTAGATTATAGCGGATATAGCGGTGGCTGATATCTCTAAAATACAGAACATCAATGAAACTTTCAGTGGTTCTTAAAAATGTCTCTTATATTGGATGGGAAGAGAGGGGAAGAAAATTCTCTTAAGTTTCTGTCCTTATTTTTGTATTCCCTCTCTTTCTCTCTGTTAGGGCGTCACTACATTCTTTGTGGATGAGAAGAACAATATTGTGGTGACCGGTGGGCCAGATACTTTTGTACGTATCTGGGATGTCTATATACCCAGTGAACCCTCGGGAATTTTGACTGGACACAATGGCGGAATTGTTATGGTTTTTGTGCAATCCGATGAGAAGAAAGTTTACAGGTAACCTCATGCAGTTTAAGGGTCCTCAGAGAGTCAATAGCATATTGATTTTTGAAATCCCTTTCCCCCCTAGCGTGGACTATCAGAAAATCATCAAAGTTTGGGATCTCACGGAACATGTGCTACTGCAGACCTATGGCGATTTGGTACGTCTGGTGCCAGGGGAAACAGATTTGGCCTATTATTATCACACTCACATGCGAGTGCTGTTGGTGGGTGGTAGGAAACTTGTAGGGGTGAAATGTAATCCACGGGTGAGAGTTGATCTTACCGATGGCAATACCCATGCTGCCCCGGTTTCGGTTGTGTTATATAATCGCCTCTTTCGAAATGTGGTAACATGTGGCCTGGATAGTTATATCATTGTTTGGGATCCATGGACGGGACGAAGGAAGATTATAATGAAAAATTGCCACACTAAGCAGATGTATGGGGAGAACATTGACATCGAAATTACGGCGGCATGCTTTGATCCGCTGGAGCAATTTTTGTTGACTGGGGCGCGAGATGGCTCGCTGAAAATATGGAACTATAATAATGCAGTGTGCATTAGGAACATGAGCATAAAGGCGGAGCATGAGGTCACCGCAGTCATATGGGTGGTGGAGAGGTGAGGTGAAGAGGGAGACATCCGAATTATCATATTATTAATTCTCTACACAGAATCCTAGCCGTGGGCTGGGACATGCAGGTCACCGAATTCAACGATGTCGAGGGTCGTGAATATGGTGATGCCAAAAAATGGCCCATGTTCCATACGGACGACATAACCTGTGCTGATGTCAAGCTTGGGGAGGGTGTAATAACGGCCACCTATTCGGGTGAATTGATATTTTGGAAATTGGAAACTGGTCAACCCTATCGCCGTTACAATGTTGCTACTCCGGAAAAATTTATCGAATTAAAATATCGGCGCAAAGAGGATGAGGACGAAGGCGAAGATGATGAGGAGACACGTCGTGCCAGTGAGAGGCGAAGACAATCCTATCATGTTAGTATATCACGTTATGTTCGCAAATCAATATCCGATCGAATTCGGGAGCTGGAAAAGAAACAAACTAAGAGGGAGCGATTTAAGGGTCGACGTTTAAGGGAGGCCGATGAAGGGGAGGCAGTGTATTTAGAACAGCAAAGCGAACGCAATGAAACTTTGCCCATGTCTGTGCAGGCGGTATTGTTTCTACAGACCCGGCCCATGACCAAGGAGCATGGTGAGGAGTCTTATTCCAAATTTATTGTGGAGAAAAATTCTCATCCTTGTCCAAATTTAGGCAGCGTTTTTGTTTCCCTGGAAACGGGAGTTATACAAATCTATTCCCACCACCATCACGGCGGCTACTTGGATCAGTTCAATGCCATTCATAAAACCGGTGATTGTGTGCTGTCCATGGCCACAGATCGCAAGAATCGCTACCTTTTCAATGGCACCGCTTTTGGATACATCAAGATTTGGTATATTGAGAACTTCGGGTGAGTTTTTATATCCAAAGACGTCTTGGTCTTCTATTGTAAAATCTTCGGTTCATTTATACGTATTCCCTCTGGGTTCTTCAATAAATGGAAGACCTTCTAAAAAAGACCTTTAGGTCTTCTATGAGCAGACCTCCAGGTCTTTTCTGAGCAGACCTCAAGGATGTTCTCTGAGCAGACCTCCAGGTCTCCTCTGAGCAGACCTCCAGGTCTCCTCTGAGCAGACCTCCAGGTCTTCTCTGAGCAGATCTCCAGGTCTTCTCTGAGCAGATCTCCAGGTCTTCTCTGAGCAGACCTCCAGGTCTTCTCTGAGCAGACCTCCAGGTCTTCCCTGAGCAGACCTCCAGGTCTTCCCTGAGCAGACCTCCAGGTCTTCTCTGAGTAGACCTCCAGGTCTTCCCTGAGCAGACCTCCAGGTCTTCTCTGAGCAGCTCTCCAGGTCTTCTCTGAGCAGACTTCCAGGTCTTCTAAGAGAAGACCTCGTCGTCTTCTATGAGAAGACCTTGTCGTCTTCTATGAGAAGACCTCGTCGTCTTCTATAAGCAGACCTCCAGGACTTCTATAAGCAGACTTTCAGGTCTTCTATACGAAGACTTTCTGGTCTTCTACACGAAAACCTTCTGGTCTTCTATACGGAGACTTTCTGGTCTTTTGTGAGAAAGCCTCCACGTCTTCTATGAGCAGACCTCTAGATCTTCTATGAGCAGAGCTACAGGTCTTCTATGAGCTGACCTCCAGGTCTTCTATGAGCAGACCTTCTGGTCTTCTAGACGAAGACCTTCTGGTCCTCTAGACAAAGATCTTCTGGTCCTCTAGACGAAGAGCTTCGGATCCTTCTGCTGGAGTTCTCCACAAGCTATCAAACCTGTTGACTTATGTTTGTACGTTTCTATACCCTCCACCATTCTATTGAGGGTATATTAGCTTTTTCATTCCGTTTGTAACTTCTCGAAATATTTAGAATAGACCCTACAAAGTATATATATTCTGGATCATCGCAAAATTCTAAGAGGATTTGGCGATGTTCGTTTGCCTATGTGTGTGTCTATCTGTGCGCCTGTCTGTCCGTCTGTCTGTTGTAATTACGCTATCTTTTGCATGAAGTGAGATAGTAGGCTAAATTTTTGCGCACATGTGTATTTTACCAGTAGGCAGGTTAAGTTCGTAAATGGACCCTCTTGGTCTTCTATTAGAGAAGACCTCTTGGTCTTCTATGAAAAGACCTCTTGGTCTTCTTTGAGAAGACTTCTTGGTCTTCTATGAGCAGACCTCCTGGTCTTCTATGAGCAGATCTCCTGGTCTTCTATGAGCAGATCTACTGGTCTTCTATGAGCAGACCTCCTGGTGTTAAATGAAGAAGACCTCATGGTCCTCTATGAAGAAGACCTACTGGTCTTCTATGAAGAAGACCTCATGGTCTTCTATGCAGAAGACTCCTTGGTCTTCTATGAAGAAGACCTCATGGTCTTCTATGAAGAAGACCTCATGGTCTTCTATGAAGAAGACCTCATGGTCTTCTATGAAGAAGACCTCATGGTCTTCTATGAAGAAGACCTCATGGTCTTCTATGAAGAAGACCTCATGGTCTTATATGAAGAAGACCTCATGGTCTTCTATGAAGAAGACCTCATGGTTTTCTATGGGCAGACATCCAGATCTTTTATGAGCAGACCTCCTGGTCTTCTATGGGCAGACCTCTTGGACTTCTGAGAGAAGACTTCTTGGTCTTCTATGAGAAGACCTTCTGGTCTTCTATGAGAAGACCTTCTGGACGAAGAACTTCTTGTCTGCTAGACGAAGGGCTTCTGGTCTTCTACGAAGAAGACCTGCTGCTCTTCTATGAGAAGATCTACTGCTTTTCTACGAAGAAGACCTTCTGTTCTTCTATGAGAAGACCTTCTGCTCTTCGGAATATTTGTCTTCTACTGTGTGTATGACCGAGTAATATCCCCAACAATTTATCAGTATTAGTTTTGTTGGTGGGTGGAATATCCTGTCACGAAGTATAAAGAAAAAAAAATGACAAAACGAACTAATATGAAATTCCGCAAAAACTTATTAAAATTATGTTTGCATGACAGTTATGACTGACTGACTACTGTTGGAATTGGGGGTGGGAAAACTTTGACAAACTTTGAAAATTCCATCAGACAACATTCTTTCTCAATAGTTTCGTTACGAGGGTTGTCTATGAAGTCCATAAATTTGATATGCGGAATAAGAGTTTATTATAAAAATAAAAATATGGTGTCCCAAAGGAACAGGGCCACCGAGAAGCAGTGGAGCTTTAAATAATAGCCTGCTTTCAAGTTCTTTAAGAAACCCAGTTTTAGATTAGAATATATGCCGATACATTCAATTTTTGGCATTAAGGTAAAAATTGAAATATTTGTTATAAAGATGGGAATACATAAAGTGCTTATTTGGCTGGCTTAAGTCATCGACTGGCTTCTTCGTAGAGGAATAAAGGAGCTTTAGGTTGACTTAGTTCGATTTTGGCCCTAGGCTCCTTCCGAAGAAGCCAGCCAATGCCTTAAGCCAGCCAAAAATGTGCTTTATGTATTTTCACCCTTAAGGTCTTTAAAACTTAGAACAAAGGAGAACCATGACCAGTTTTGCCATTTTTTACCATAATTATTATGAGACCTTTACAAGTTATTAAAAAAGAACACTATGCTACAAATATAGCATATGGCACGGTGCCCATACTACAATTTTATAGGAAATTTTTAGCTGGATTTTATCTTTATATAGGTCTTTCAATATGGGGTGCGGAACTGTTTAGAAGTATTGGATTTTTCATCCCAGACCCACATCGAAAATACATTGTAGTACAGTGTATTTTGTCATAATTTGCTCTGGTAGAAACAAGGTTATTAGGAATACAATTTGTGTGTTTCGATGGAGAAGGTGTGTGGGGGAGCTAAATTGTTTACATGTCTACCGAACAGAAACATGACTGGCACAATTAATGACATCTTTATGAATTGTCATTATTTTGTGGGAGGACGGTAGCAATCCTTCTGCTGGAGTTCTCTACAAGCTATCAAACCTGTTGACTTATGTTTGTACGTTTCTATACCCTCCATCATACATAGTATGGAGGGTATATAAGCTTTGTCAGTCCGTTTGCAACTTTTCGAAATATTCAGAATAGACCCTACAAAGTATATATATAATCTGGATTAGCGTAAAATTTTAAGAGGATTTGGCGATGCTCAGTTGCCTTTGTGTCTATGTGTGTGTGTCTATCTGTGTGCCCGTCTGTCTGTTGTAATCACGCTATCTTTCGAACGAATCGAGATAGAAGGCTAAATTTTTGCGTACCTCCCGATATTCGGTATTTGGATGATTTAGGCGACTTAATTCACCCGAATTGTTTCAAATTTTGTATTCGAAGCTTATAATGGGTACTACAGCCTGTGCCTAAAAATTTCGTATGAAGGCCCACATCTTCGAATAGTCCCCATACAACGCTACCTCTCGATATTCGGTATTTTGATGATTTAGGCGACTTATTTCACCCGAATTGTTTCAAATTTCGTATTTGAAGCTGGTAATGGGTACTACAGCCTGTGCCTAAAAATTTCGTATGCAGGTCCATGCCTTCGTATAGCTTCCATATAACGGTACCTCCCGATATTCGGTATTTTTATGATTTAAGCTACATTATTTACCCGAATTGTTTCACATTTCGTATTCGATGTTGGTAATGGGTATTACAGCCTGTGCCTAAAAATTTCGAATGCCCGGTACCTCCCGATATTCGGTATTTTGATGATTTTGGCGACTTAATTCGAAGTTGGTAACGGGTACTACAGCCCGCGCCTAAAAATTTCGTATGCGGGTCCATGTCTTCTTATAGCCCTCATATAACGGTACCTCCCGATATTCGGTATTTTCATGATTTTAGCGACTTTATTCACCCGAATTGTTTCGAATTTCATATTCGAAGTTTGTAATGGATGCTGTAGCCTACCTTACATATAAACGTGTTTTTTGGACATTTTTTTTCTTCCTTCCAAAAGGTGAAGGATATTAAAAGTTCGACCATGCCGAACAAAGCTGCTTTTTTACTTGTTTCATATCTCCCCCCCCCCCCCCCCCCCCCCCCTCTTAGGATACCGGAAAAGGATAAAGTGAAAGTTAACATGCCATTGTTGCGGTTACAGTTCATATTTTTGCGAAATGACAGATTTCTAACGAGATCCAAGAGAGCAGTACGTCATCAGACGGAGCCAATGCTGGTTAGCTCCTACAAGGGGCATTTGAAGGCCATCAATTCGATTGCCTATATAAATCAGACGAAAATTTTAATAACGTAAGTATCTGCAAGAATATTTCCGCTGATGAAGAGGAGATTAAAGAATATCTGAAATTCCAGAGGTAGCCACGATTGCTCCTGTCGTTTATGGTCACTGGGTGGACGTTATTTGGGCACCTTGGGTTCACCATTGCCCTGGATGAAAATATCCCCCTTCGAGTCAGTTGAGGAGAAATATGAGAAGTTTCGCATGCCACCGGACATAAAAAAGGTGGCCAGCTCAACAACCATGAAAGTAGGGAATCATTTTTTTCAAGACACCCCAAAATTTTAAAGGTTAAATTATAAATCCATCCTTACCTCCCCAGGTCATTACCGGTCAACAATTGGATACTTTCCCAATGTCATTGGCAAAGGAAGAAAAAACTCCATCGGATACAAAAGATGATGATGAAGAGGACGAGGAAAAGGATAACATTTCCCGAATGTATGGCAAATCGTTGCGTGCCCCAATTCTGGGTAAACATTTCCAATTGCCTGGTCGCAGTGCAGTAGAGCAGCGCATAGATTTGGATATAACTGCGTCTTATATTCCCGTCTTTACTCATCTGAAAATTCATGAGGCCAATGAGTTGACCAGGCCATCAACACCACCTTCGATTAGGCGGGTAGCCACCGAAAATTATATGGAGTTCTATGAACCCAAATCGCGAGGAGATAGAGATCTTCAAGGAGGCGCGACAGATCGGCGTGATAGTCTACGAGATGTAGATCCATTGAAGTCAAGACGGCATTCAGTCGGGGTTAAACCAACTGTGGCCTTTGGACCGAACGAGGAAAGGGGAGTGGAATGAAATGGAATTTATGTTGTTTTGTAAATATATTTGTTGTTGGTTTTTTGGAACTTTTCTATTTTCGAATCAGAAGAAGAAGATAACGAATTAGTTATGTTTTCGCATTTCCAATTTTCATCGATTTCAGAACAAATTCTTAAATGTATGCACAGCATTATTCCTGTGCCCTGTCTGAATCTTCTCAAGACCCGATGAAGAAACTGAACTTTCTATCGATTTTGTTCAATCACCTTAACATCAACATTCGGTTTTGGAGATCCCAGGCCATTGGTGATCTCTTGGTTGGTACGTGGTTTTCCCGTCAGATGAGGCTATCTCAGCTGTAGCCAGGGTCTTCATAAGGACCCACTAAAACCAAGAAGAGCCGTTCAGTTGATGATCAGGGAACGTCTACAACGCAAGTGGGTCTATGATCCCCATTCGAAGATGAACGGTTTGTAGATAGTCGGGAAATTTGATGAATGGTCGTGGACAGGGCTGCCAACTACATTTAAAGAAAAATCGTTAATTCTTCAGAAAAAAATTGAAAGAATCGGCATTTGCATTTTTAAATATTGGCAAGAAATCGGAATTTTGAGGCAGGAAGAAGATTTGAGGGAGCAGTAGAGCTAGAACTCTTAAATTTGGAATAAATGTCACCATTTGAGTGTATGATATATGATCAAAGGGTTTTTGGAAATTCGTACTAGAATTGTACGAAAAGTACAAAAATGTACTACATTTGGCACCATTTCGTATCATGTGAACAGTAAGAGCTAAAAACTTGAAATGGGAATCAAGGGAGGTAGTTTTGGAAGTGTGTACGAAATGTACTAAACGGTACTAAATTTTGTACAATTGGAATTGGGAGGAACGGATGAAACTGGAGCCGGAGTGAAGGATTATGGAGGAAGGCATATGGAGGAAGTTTCCGGAATTTGTACTTGTGTGCACGACTAGAACTAAATGGTACCAAATTTGGTACAATTTCGATTTGGGTGAACCTATAAAGCTGGAAATCTGAAATTTGGTAATAAGATTACTATGCTTTCTAGGAATGAGGAGTGTAGGTAGTTTTGGAAATTCCTACTTATGTGTACTAAATGGTACTAAATTTGGTACCCTTTGTATTTGAATAAGTAGAAGAGCTAGAATTCTTAAATTTGGAATGAGGGTCAGTGATGAAGTGTATGCTGGATGTACCAATGGTTTTTCGGAAATTCGAAAGTACGAAAAGTACTAAAATGTACTACATTTGGTACCATTTCGGTTAGAGCTAAAAACTTGAAATTTGGAATGCGAATCAAGGTTGTAGAGGAGTAGAGTCGATGTAGGTAGGTAGTTTTGGAAGTGTGTACTCATGTATAAGAAAAGTACTAAACGGTACTAAATTTAGTACAATTTGAATTGGGAGGAACGGATGGAGCTGGAATCCTAAAATGAAATTAACATTAGTGGCGGAGTGTAGAATTGGAATATGGAGAAAGTTTTTGGAATTTGTACCTATGTACACGAAGAAAACTAAATGGTACTAAATTTGGTACAATTTCGATTTGGGTGAACCGATAGAGCTGGAAATCTGAAATTTAGAAATATGACTACTATTGCATTCTAGGTCTGAGCAATGTATGTAGTTTTGGAATTTTGTTCTTATGTATGTGTACTAAATGGTAGTGAATTTAGTACAATTTGAATTTGGAGAAACGTATGGAGCTGGTATCCTTATAAATAAATTTAAATTTTTAATTAACATTACTGACGGAGTGTAGGATTGGGATATGGAGGAAGTTATCGAAATGTATACTTATGTACACGAAGATAACTAAATGTTACTAAATTTAGTACAATTTCGATTTGGGTGAATCGATAGAACCGGAAATCTGAAATTTGGAACTAAGATTACTATGGCATTGTAGGACTAAGGTATGTAGGTACCTCAGTACTAAATTTGGTACAATTTGAATTGGGAGGAACGGATGGAGCTGGAATCCTAAAATGAAATTAACATTAGTGGCGGAGTGTAGAATTGGAATATGGAGAAAGGTAGTGCAGGAATCCTGAAATTTAATTTTAAGATTACTATTACATTGTAGGACTGAGGTATGTAGGTAGATTTGGAAATTTGTACCTATGTGTACTTAATGGTACTAAATTTGGTACAATTTGTATTTTGGGAGAACCAATGGAGTCGAAATCCTAAAATTGGAAAATAAGTTTTCTATTAGACTGTATGATATAGGTAGCTAAGAAAATGTTTACTTTAGTGTACTAAATGGTACTAAATTTGGTCAATTTATTATTGGCGTAGGATATGTAGTTAGTTTTAGGAATGTGTAATTATATGTACTAAATTGTACTAAATAAAGTACAATTTGTATTTGGGCGAATCAACAGGGGTGGAATCCTAAAATTTAGAATTCAGATTACTGTGGGAAATTGTAGAATTGGGAAATGTAGAAAGCTTTAAAAATTCGTACTAATGTGTACTAAATTTGGTACAAATTGGAATTGTTATGAACCGATGGAGCTGAAATTTGGAATGAGAGTCAGGATAGATGCACCAAAGGGTTATTGGAAATTTGAACTTTAAATTTAGGATATGTTCTAAAATAGTACTAAAGTTCTGAAATGGTACCATTTGGTATTATTTGAGGGAATAAAGCTAAAACCATGAAATTTTGCATGAGAATCAAGGTTGGAAAATAAGTTTGATATATGAAGGTGGTTTTGGAAATGTGTACTAAGTGCCCGAACTGTACTAAATTGTACTAAATTTGAAACAGTTTGGTTTAGGGAGAACGTATGTAGCTGGAATTTTGAAATTTTTGTTTGGGGTCCCTGTTGGTGGTAGATTTGTGATAAAGAGATGTTTTTGAAAAGGTGTACTACAAGTGCACGAAAAGCACTAAATAGTTCTACGTTTGGTACAATTTGGCTTTGAGTGAACAGAAAGTTCTTGAAATCTGAAATTTGACATTAGGGTCGCTGTTGATGTGTAGCCAGGAAATATGGAAGTGATTGTGTAAGTGTGTATTACAATTGTACGAAATGTACAAAATGGTACTAAATTTGGTATTGGGTGAAGAGATGGAGATAAAATTCTGAAATTTGATGTTTAGATTACTAATGGCAATTGTGTTTGAGATTTGCCGGTGGTTTGAAAATTTCTACGAAAAATACTAAATGATACTAAATGTGGTATTCGGTGAAGGGATAAGACTGGAATCGCGAAATTTGATATTCAGGTTTGTATTGGTATCTGGAATTGAGATATGTTGGTGGTTTTGGAAATGTGTACTATAATTTTTATGAAAAACACTAAATTCGGTATTGGGTGAAGGTATAGAGCTGAAATCCTGAGTTTCAAATGGATGTCAATGTTGCGTCCTATATTTTTTACGAAAAATACTAAAATTGGTTTTGAGTGAATACAGGGTGAGGCAAAAAACTGCAACAAAGTCAAACGCCATCATTTTTTATATTTTTTACATTTTATTGAATTCCCGGCGAAGCGCTTGCTTGTGGTGATCGACACTTTGGTATTTTTAGTGCCAAGATAGCTTTCCAAAATACTCCAGACACAATAGTCCAACGGATTGGTATCTGCAGATTTTGGTGGCCATTGTGAGCTCGAAATGGAACGAGGAACCTCATTTTGTAACCATTCTTGGGTGGCGAGTGCTCAGTGGAATGGTGGTGAGTCCTGTTGGAATGTCCAAGATCTGCGGCCAAAATGTTTGCGTGCCCAAGGCTTTAATACACCCTTCAGAATATTTTCACGATAATATTCGGCATTTATTCTGATGCCACGGTCGATTAATACGAGCTGTCACTTTAATAATCAATCAACAGCAAACTGCCATTGGATGGTAAAGACTAATCAACTTCTTGACAGCGGCTGCTTAGGATGAAAATAATGAAAGACAAAATAAGAAAAAGTAGAAAAAATATGTGTCAGAGGAGAATTTTTCTATACGAAAAATGTCTGTACTGGGCCAGAGCCGAATTTTTTCCTACACGGAAAAAAGTCTCAACTGTGCCAGGCGAGACATTTTTTCTATACGGAGATTTTTTCTATACAGAAAAAGTATCTACTGTGCCAGGCGAGAATTTTTTCCTATACGGAAAAAATCTCCTCTATGACAGACGAGAATTTTTTCCTGTACGGAAAAAAGTCTCCACTCTGACAGCGGAGATTTTTTCCTATACAGAAAAAATTCTCCCCTGTGCCAGAGGAGATTTTTTTATACGGAAAAAAGGCTCCACTGTGGCAGAGGAGATTTTTTTCTATACGAAAAAAGCCTCCACTGTACCAGAGGAGATTTTTTTTATACGAAAAAAAAGTCTTCTCAGTTCGGGGCCTCAGGGGCCTGAGGCTAATTTTTCTATACGAAAAAAGTCTAATCAGGAGTCTGAGGTTAATTTTCTCCCATACGGAAAAAAATCTCCCCTGTGCCAAGCGAGAATTTTTTCTTATACGGAAAAAAAGTCTCCCCTGTGCCAAGCGAGAATTTTTTCTTATACGGAAAAAAAAGTCTCCCCTGTGCCAAGCGAGAATTTTTTCCTATACGGAAAAAAGTCTCCCCTGTGCAAGCGAGAATTTTTTCCTATACGGAAAAAGTCTCCACTGTGCCAGAGGAGATTTTTGCCTATACGGAAAAAGACTCCACTGTGCCAGAGGAGATTTTTGTCTATACGGAAAAAGTCTCCACTGTGCCAGAGGAGATTTTTGCCTATACGGAAAGAGTCTCCACTGTGCCAGAGGAGATTTTTGCCTATACGGAAAAAGTCTCCACTGTGCCAGAGGAGATTTTTGCCTATACGGAAAAAGTCTCCACTGTGCCAGAGGAGATTTTTGCCTATACGGAAAAAGTCTCCACTGTGCCAGAGGAGATTTTTGCCTATACGGAAAAAGTCTCCACTGTGCCAGAGGAGATTTTTGCCTATACGGAAAAAGTCTCCACTGTGCCAGAGGAGATTTTTGCCTATACGGAAAAAGTCTCCACTGTGCCAGAGAAGATTTTCCTATAATTTTAACAGCTCTCTCGGAGTGGCTTAGAAATTACAGCAGTCTGAAGTTGGTTGCAATTTTTTCATCACTGTATTCTCTAATTTTTTTTAACAATTTTTTCTCGGACTTTTTTGCGATTTGATGTCTGAAAGTAACATTAAATTTACTTTTAGGCAGAAGGTGTCAAAGGAGGGAATATTCTACACAAAATTTCACTATGAATCTCAGAATAAACAATATATTTAGGTACGATAGTTTTTAAAAAAATCTTATTCGAAATGCATGTACTACAAAGCAAAAAATCAACCCATTTCTTTTGTGATCAAATCAAAGATGCCCTGTCCCCTCTTTTCGCTGCCTCTCCAATTCTTCCTTATTCCAAGTTGTCAAACCAACCCGAATTCAAGGTATAAAATATATTTATTTCAAAATAAAAATAAACGTTAATTATTTTCACAATAACAAATGCCCGTTAAATGCATAAACAACCCCGTCCAACTTATGATTTACTTTCTATGCCACAATTCATGTAATCGAACAAATGTAAGGCAGCTGTGTGGGGCAGGAGGCGGGTCCAGTTATTCAAATGCAACATACAGGGCGGCAATGCCACATTTGTCAGCTCGCAACGATGGGCTTCAATGATTTTCTCGGCCACATATTTGGCATCCAACATGGCCAGCATGGAGGGGAATCTAGAATGGACACTCTCGCAGAGTCCGGTGTCAACGGCATATGGATAGATGACGGTGAATTTTATCTGAAAAAATATTGAAAATTATTATTTAAATTCCTTTCTCCCTCCATTTCTTTATTTCACCCACCAAATTCTTATACGGACCCAAATGCATTTCATTGTACAGGGCCTCCATAAGACCGCGCACGGCAAATTTCGATGCACAATATGGCACCAGGTTGGGTATACCAACCACGCCACACATTGACGACAGGGCTATGATGTGTCCACGATTTTGTTCCTTCATGTGCGGCAGGAAAGCTTCCAATGTCCAAAAGTGCGCGAAAACATTGATCTCAAACGTCCTGCGTATGTCATCTGGGGTTTGTTTTTCTAACGGTTTTGTGGGCATAATACCGGCATTGTTTATTAGCACCGATACTGGACCAATATCACGCTTTATGTGTGTGGCTAGATTTAATACTGCTTCGCGATCCGTTACATCGCAGCTAAGAGGGGAGAGAGTGAAAGGAAAAATTGTTATTCAAGGCAATGTGATATCATTTTTATGAATGTGAAAGGGAGGGAAAATAGAGATTTTTTGAATGAATTCAAAATCTGGGGTTCATGAATAAAACATTTTTTTCTCTGGTTCAGAAGGTCCTTGAAAAAAAAAAAATAAAAATCCCCAGGTCGTATCGATAGAATATTAATTTGATGGTCAGTACAACAAACCACAACGTTAACTTAGGTGGTACCGTTATATGGGGACAATTTAAACAAACAATTTAAAAAAAATATGTTTCAGTTCAGAGGGTGCTTGGCAAAACATTGTTTAAAAAACCCATCTTTCAGTTTTTTTTTTTCAATCCTGGTTTTTGGTTTAGATGTTCAATTCAAATATGTTTTTAAAATCGACGAAAATCCTTAAAAATAATATTTATATTTAAAATTTTCACATTTTTTACGATTTTTTGTCTCGGATGATTTTTGGAAAAAATATTCCTCAAAAAATCCGTAATTGTTAATCAAAATTGTAATTTTTTGTGGGAAAGGTACCAGAAGAGGTGGTCCGATATCATCTTCACACCATATCTTGTATTAGTAGAAATATTGGGATGTGGAAGTTTAAAAAGAATCAGAAATCAGATGCATATTTCGCGTCTTATTATCGTTAAGGTTATTCAAAATTTTGAGACCTGGGTAGGGGAGAGGTTGAGATTTACAGAAGGGTCCGATATATTCCATCTTCACACCAGATTTTGTGTTCATAGAAATATTAAAAGACAATCACTTATTAAGAGTTATAATTATTTGAAAACCCACCATCAGATACCAAGAGAGACCTAAATATCAAGTTTCCGGATTTAAACTCTATCCCTTTATCTAATACCAAATTTGGTACCACTTAGTACTTTTCGAAAAATTATAGTACACATTTTCCAAACCACCTCTAAGTCTCATCCTCAGATACTAACAGTGACTTCCATATCAAATTTCGGAATTTCAGCTTTATTATTTCACTCAAAACAAAAAATTGGTACTATTTAGTACTTGACGTACAATTACAGCACGCATTTCTAAACTCCATATCTCAACTCCAGATACCAACAGAGACCTCAGTATTAAATTTGACTATTCTAGCTCTATCCGTTCATTCAATACCAAATTTAGTACCATTTTGTAATTTTCGTACAAATAAAGGACGTATTTCCAAAATACCACCAAATCTTAAATATTAGATACCATCCAAATCTCAGATACCATCCGTAATCTAAATATGAAATTTCAGAATGTGATCTCTATCCTTTCAACCAATACCAAATTTAGTACCACTTATTACTTTTTGTACAATTATAGTACACATATAATATGTCATATGTCCAGGCTATACATGAACAGCGACCTTAATAACAAATTTCAGATTTCGTGCACTATCTCTTCACGTAATATCAAATTGTAGCAAAAATAGTACTATTTAGTACTTTTTGTATACATGTAGAATGTGTAGAATGTGTACAATCACCAACAATGAACCCAATACAAAATTTTTAATTTAATTTAAATTTCAGCTCCATCAGTTCACCCTAAACCAAATTGTTCCAAATTTAGTACCATTTACTATAGTTCCCTCACATAGTACAAATATAAATTGTTCTTTATTTAGTTCAATTTAGTACACATTTCCAAAATTATCTAGATATCTCAATCCTACACTCCGACAGTAATCCTTTTTCCAATTTTCAGGATACCAACTCTATTGGTTCTCCCAAAATTTAAATTGTACCAAAATAAATACTATTTAGTACACATAATTACGAAATTCCAAATCTACCAACAATCCTCAGTCCTGGAATGCAATAGTGAAATTATTTATAAATTTCAGAATTCCTGCTCTATCGAAACTGTACCAACATCGAAATTGTACCAAATTTAGTATAATTTAGTACTTTTCGTGCACATAAGTACAAATTTCGAAAACTTCATCCATACGGCAACCCTGTATTCGACGGACCCATCTGGCAACGCCATAACTTTTGACAAAGATGTCACATCGCTTAATGGCATACCGCGTTTGAAGCGTCAGTCCAAGCAGATTTTTACCATGAACCAATACACGCCACGCGAACTCTCTGAAATAGTTGAAATTTACATTCAACAGAAGAAGTCTATTGTGAAAACTCAACGTGGTTTTAAAACATTAAAAAATGTGAGAAGTTCGCCTTCTAAGAACACCATTAAGCGTTTATACGAAAAATGTTCGACTGGTAAGGCTCTTTCTAATCCGAAGAGGCCATATAAAAGTCGACCAAGGCGATCGGCCGAGAATATCGCTGCCGTACGAGCGAGTGTTGAGAGGTCCCCAAGAACATCCCAAAAACGCCGTTCTCAGCAGTTGGGCATGGCTCGGTCCACTTTACAACGGATTATTCGCATTGATTTGCATTTGTTCCCGTACAAAATTCAATTGACGCAAAGAATGTTGCCTGCGGACAAGCCTCGTCGATTGGAATGGGCCCAAAGGCCCGTCCTGCCAGTAATGCTAGTTTCAAATCTCAGTATTCCAGCTCCATTCGTTCCTTCAAATGCAAATTGTACTAAATTTAGTACAGTTTAGTACTTTTTGTATACATGAGTACACACTTCCAAGACTACATTCTTACACCGACTCATCTCCTTAAACTTGATTCCCATTCCAGACTTTAAAGTTCTTAACTCAAACTGTTCACATGATGCGAAATGGTACCAAATGTAGTACATTTAGTACTTTTTGTACATATATAGTGCGAATTTTAAAAAGTCCTTTGGTACATCTCTCATAAAATTCACTTGACTTGACTCACTTGACCCTTATTCCCAAGTTTAAGAGTTCTAGCTCCCCTGCTTTCTCAAATACAAATGATACCGTAATTAGTACATTTTAATACTTTTTGTACCGTTCTAGTGTAAATTTCTAAAATCCCAGCTTTTGCTGACCCTGCCGACCAAGAGTGACCCTCATTTAAAATTTCTAGATTTTGCTTCAGCCATTTAGTCTGGGCGTTGATGAATCGTTTAGTCAGTCAGTCAGCCAAGTACTTTATCCTTCTATTAATATAGATTACAGTGTACCAAGTTAGAACCCGAATCGGTCCATAAAGCCATTGAGAGTTATTATGCGCTACAACCAGGCAGAAAGACGGACGGACACGTCTAGAACGACTCGAAATGAAACGACTCGAAAATTGGTTGGTCCTTGGAAGAAAGTGTACTTAAAAAATGTACGTATGTTGGTCCTTGGAAGAAGTCCCATCCCTTGGAAAAAGTCTCCTTTAAAAAAACACGTTTGCAGGAAATCTTCTTAAATAAATACACGTCTTTTAGTCATTGGAAAAGGTCTTCTTTAAAAAAATCACGTTCGTTGGTCCTTGGAAAAAGTCAAATAATCTCTATTTGTTGGTCCTTGATAAAAAGTCTTCCTTAAAGGGTCCTTAAAAAATCAACGTTTGTTGGTTCTTGCAAAATTACCACCTTCTTGAAAACCAAAACCTTCTTGGTTCTTGGAAAACAGTCGTATTCCAAAAATTGTATTAGTTTGTCCTTTGGTAAAAAGTCCTCTTTTAAAAAGTGACGTTTGTTGGTCCTTGGAAAAACAATTCTCTTAAGAATCCATTTTTTTTGGTTCATAGAAAAATATCTTCTAAAAAATCCAGTTTTTACAAAAATATTTTTTTTGAAAAAATCCACGTTTGTTGGTCCTCAGGAAAGGGTCTTCCTTATAAAATCCAAGTTTGTGGGTCTTTGGAAAATCTATTCTCTAAAAAATCCCCTTTTTTTGGACCTTGGGAAAATATCCTTTATAAAGTCCACGTTCGTTGGTCCTTGGAAAAGGGTCATCCTTAAAAAATCCACATTTGTTGGAAATTGAATTGAAAAAATTATTTTTTTTAAAAATTTTCGTTGTGTTAGGTGTTGGAAAAATATTCGTTAAAATTCCTCGGTCCAAGAACTGCCTGCCCTTGAAAAACATTTATACCCTTTGCAACTTACATATAACTGTGCACCACGCCCCGATTGAGGGCCTTGGCCTTTTTCAATGTCTCCTTATTGTTCTTCTCGTTGATGTCCACACAGATAACGGTACTATATTGACTGACATATTGCATTGTCAATTCACGACCAATACCATGTCCGGATCCGGTTATCTGAAAGAGAAAAATTCGAATTGTTTTACAAAGTGTCACTGGGTTATCTATTGTACAGCTGCCACTTCTTACCAACACAATTTCACCACTGACATCTTTGGGAGTTTTCCCGACTACTTTCTCCACCCCGGCCTTGAATACTTCCAATGTCATTTGACAAATTAATACAATAAAATCGAATATGTCTTGTATTATATCAAAGATATGCTTGAGGGCCGGAGTTGTTCTGGAAAAAAAAAATAGAAACTAGTAAGGCAAAGTAAAAAGTGGGGCGGGCCGAATATATGATACCCTACACTACTAGACATATTTGGTAGATCTCCCGTAACAAAAGAATTTATTTCAAGTAGATCATACCACCTATCAACGTTTGGCATTAGAGCAGTTGTGATTTGGTTTCAGAGGAAACTAATGTACAGGGTGAGATAAAAAACTGCAACAAAGTCAAACGGCATAATTTTTACACTTGCATGAAAGCAAAAAATGTCGGAAATAGCATCAAATTTAGAATAAGTTTAGATTTGTTCGAGTTGATCACCTTTGGCACGAATCGTGGCCTTCAAACGGCCAATGAAACCGTCAGACCCTGCCCGAATGTTGCTCTGCGATATATTGATATTTTTTAGTGCCAACCTTGCTTTCCAAAATACTCCAGACACAATAGTCCAACGGATTGGTATCCAGAGATTTTGGTGGCCATTGTGCGCTGGAAATGAAGCAAGGAACCTCATTTTGTAACCATTCTTGGGTGGCGCGAGCTGAGTGCGATGGTGCTGAGTCCTGTTGGAATGTCCAAGGTCTGCGGCCAACATGTTTTGCGTGCCCAAGGCTTCAATACACCTTTCAGAATATTTTTGCGTTAATATTCGACAATTATTCTGATGCCACGGTCGATTAATACAAGGCTGTTATGGCGAACCACGGCTCACGGCCCACACCATCACCATGGCCGGCGCTTGAGTACTGGTGGAAAACCGAATATGGTGCACATTTTCAGCAGACCTCTTTGGCAAGTAAACGCGATCATTTTGTTTGTTTACAAACTGCTGGACACCCAATGTTTTCTCATCGGAGAAAACCAAATTCGGCAGTTCCCCACTTTCGGCCAAACGAAGCAACTCTTTAGCTCTTTTGAGTCCATTCTCCTTCTGTTGCGGTGTAAGTTCTGGCACTTTTTGGGCTTTACCCCGAGCTCATTCTTCAAGATTTGCCGAATGGAATATTGCGATATGTTCAGCTCAAGAGCCATTTTCCGGCAACTGCGAAGCGGGTTTCGATCAAGTCGCTTTTTTACTTTTCGATACATTTCTGCTTATGTTGCTGTTCCTTGACGTCGGGCAACACTACCAGCATCACGGTAACGAGCGATGGAACGAGACACAAAACACTTATTCACATTTAAATGCTGGAGTGCTCTGACGATAGCCACTTGTGGTTTTCCAACAAAATATAAAGAAATCACACTATCACGCTTAAATTCCCTCACGAATAACTTTTTTTCAGGAAAATTCTCAGCGAAATGCTTTCGAACGATTGTAAACAATATAATGAGCTGTCACTGGAATAATTTTAACAGCTGTCGGACAAGTGGCTTAGAAATGACAGCAGTCTGAAGTTGGTTGCAGTTTTTTTCATCTCACCCTATATACATCGGAGTCGAGTTGTATAATATGGAAACATACGTCCCAAAATTCACTCCATTTGGGCTGATATTAGCTTTTATTTGCGCCAGAAACCTGAAATCGGATTATAAATATATATGGGTGCTATATCCAAATCTTGCTGATCTCGAATTTGGCAAAGTTATTTTCGAGCTCTATAAGATATCTGGTATCCAATAACATTCTTGTGGAGTGCATATTAAGAATGTGAGGGGCTTAAAGCTCCAAACCGACTTTCGCCAAATTTGATGTACTTGCTCCTAGACTGAATTCGGCAGGATACGCCAAAATTCAGGTAATTTGGACTGCGATTGGCCATTTTGGTGCACAATTAACCCGAAATCGGTTGAAGATATATATGGGAGCTATATCCAAATGTGAACCGATATTGATACAATTTGGCACAGGCATTTTTGGGCTGTATCTGATATCTGATCCCCAGGATCCTTCATGGTGGGTCCATATTACGAATATGAGGAATTTAAAGCCCCAAATCGGATGAAACATATATATGGGAGCAATAGCTTTATCTCAACCGATTTTCACCATATTTGATGAACGTGCTTCTAGGCTGAATTCGGTCGGACGTGCCAAGATTCAGGTCATTTGAACTAATATTGCCATTTGGTGCACAATTAAACCGAAATCGGTTGAAGATACATATGAGAGCTATATCTAAATTTGAACCGATTCTCACCAATTTCAATGGGGTTCGTCCTTGGGCCAAAAAAATATTGTTTGGAAAATGTCATCTAAATTGGATAATAAATGCGACCTGCATTTCGTTGACAAAAATACATAGACAGACGGACGGTCGGACAGACAGACGGACTGATATTCATAAATCGACTTAGAATGTGATTCTATGAAGATCCTCCAAAGTAACTATGGGTCTATCTCGTTTCCTTCTCCATGTTACAAAGACATAATACCCTGACCACCTTGTGGTGTAGGGTATAAAACTAGAAAGTAATTTAATGGCGAATATTGATTTGAATCCCCATATAATCCGCTTGGAAATATTAATTTTAAAATAACCTCCATGGAGGACAAACATTCCTTTCCATTTGATTATAACAAACAAACAATTTCTCATGCTGATGTTTATATTTTTTCGATATGCAAAAATGACTTTCAAACTTACCCCGTTTTTATAACTTGGTCAGCCATAATTTATGTTTTTTATTTTCTTGTTGTTGTTGCTTGCTTTACAATTTTCCTTGGGAGGAGAAAAACTCAAGCCTTGTGCACTTGTAAAGCTTCCTTCCACAACAAACACTTCCGGCTAGCGGCGAATACTGACTGGTCAACTGAAATACTGCCACAATAAGCGATGTCTGTTGTGTTGCGTTGCGTTCGAAGCTCTGCCTCGCTATGTGACGTTCTCTGCAACCAAAGAAAATGAAAGGAAAAACAAAATTCAAGAAAAACACATCAAAACCGATTTTTATCTTCCACAAATAACCGAAGGGAGGGTAATAAACGGAACAAAAACTCGTTGCACGTTGCAAAGACTTGCACTTTCGTTTGCCACACAAATTGCAGTGGTTGTTGTTGTTGTTGTTATTTATGTTTTTTGTTATTGTTGCCTTGTTGGTTGCGGGTAATGGCACAAGTCTCCAACCATGTTATGCGGTAATGCGGCCACCAGCTGCCATAAAACTTGCCATCAAACATTGAATAACTTTTATTGTCGAGTGCAACAAATAAATAGAAATGGCAATGACTCTGAATGCTTGTGTTTGGATGCACCGAGGTGACCAGGTTTGGGTTGAGATTTGTTTTGAAGGACATAAAAAAGGAGATTTTTCAAGGCAAAACTTGGATTTTCAAGGAAGATTATTTCAACATCCAAATACGTAGCATTTTTATACCCTACACCACAAGGTGGTCAGGGTATTATGTCTTTGTGCATTTGTTTGTAACAAGCAGAAGGAAACGAGATAGACCCATAGTTCCTTTTGATGATCTGCATAGAATCACATTCTGAGTCGATTTATGCATGTCCGTCCGTCCGTCTGTCCGTCCGTCCGTCTGTCCGTCTGTCCATGTATTTTTGTAAACAAAGTACAGGTCGCATTTATTTCCCGATCCAGATGAAATTTTGCACAGATAATTTGTTTGGCCCAAGGACGAACCCTATTGAAATCGGAGATAATCGGTCAAAATTTAGATATAGCTCCCATATATATCTTCGTCCGATTTGCCTTTTATTGTGCACCAAACGTGTAATATCATCCCGAATTGTATGGAATTTTGCACATACAACCAAATTAGGCCTGAAAATAAATATGCCAAATTTGATCGAAATCGGTGCAGATATAGCTATAGCTCCTATATATATTGTTCATCCGATTTGTTATTTTTGTCCACCGCCGCCGTAATATGCACTCTGTAACAACAATATTTGGGGAAATATATCAAATGCAGCTCAGAAATACATTTGCTAAATTTTATCGAGATCGGTTCAGATTTGGATATAGCTCCCATATATAACTTCGTCCGATTTACCTTTTATTGTGCACCAAACGTCTAATATTTGTCCAAATGCGATGCAATTTGGCACTTACGACCGAATTGGGTCTAGAAGCTAGTATGTCAAATTTGGTGAAGATCTGTTCAGATGTAGCTATAGCTCCCATATATACTGTTCATCCGATTTGTCATATTTGTTACCCACAGCCGTAGTATGCACTCCGTAACAACGATATTCAGGGAAATATATCAAATACAGCTCAGAAATATCTTTGCCAAATTTTATCGAGATCGCTTCAGATTTGGATATAGCTCCCATATATATCTTTATCCGACTTCAAATTAATTGTGCACCAAATGGGCAATACAGGTCGGAATTTAAAAGACACAAATGCTTCGGCATATTAAGTCCTTTGAACTTTAAATTATAATTATATTCATAGCGTGTATGATTGAATTATCCCATATAAACTTTTAATTGTTATGTGGAGCTCTACTTATTTAGCAAAGTGGTGTAGGGTATCATAAAGTCGGCCCCGCCCGACTTTAAGACTTTCTTTACTGGTTAAAGACTATTTTTATATGGACCAAGATACGTGGATTTTTTAAATAATATTTTTGCCTAAGACCAACAAAATAATAGGGTCGACATTTTCAGTTTTCAAACCAAGTCAGGAAAAGTCAAAAGTCAGGCAGGGCCCTCTATTTGATAGACTACACCACTACGCATATTTAGAAGAGCTCCCGTAACAAAATAATTTATTCGACCTATCAACATTTGTCTTTAGAGGTGTTATAGTTTGCTATAGAGTGCATGATATCACTTGGAAAAGATTATATTAAAAACAAGTAAAAAAACATTAAGTTCGGCCGGGTCGAACTCTAAATACCCTCCACCTTAGGGTAAAGGAATCATTAGAACCCAATATGACCCACAAATACCAATTTTTAGACATATTCGTGGGAAAATGTGGCAAAAAACCATCAAAATACCAAAAATCGGGAGGTACCGCTATATGGGGCTATACAAAAACGTGAACCTATACATACAATATTTCGCCAACGGAGCTATAACCTTTTAGGACACACAAATATCAATTTTCAGACAAATCCGCGAAGAAATGTGGAAAAAATCATCAAAATACCGAATATCTGGAGGCACCGTTATATGGAGGTTATGCCAAAACTTGGACCTATGTTTCGCCAACGGAGCTAAAACCCATTATGACCAACAAATACAAAATTTTAGACAAATCCGTGAAAAAAAATGTGGCAAAAATCATCAAAATACCAAAAATCGGGAGGTACCGTTATATGGGGGCTATACCAAAGCGTGGATCCATACATACAATATTTCGCCACATGAATTAGGGCCTATTTCGACCTACAAATACCAATTTTCAGACAAATCAGTGAACAAATGTGGCAAAAGTCATCACAATACCGAATATCGGCAGGTACCGTTATATGGGGACTATACCAAAACGTGGACCGATATATCTCATTTTCAATACCAACCATCCTAGACACAATGCAAATTGTTCTGCTAAATTTTGACGCTCTACGCTCGTGATTTCAACAGACAGACAGACAGACGGACATCAACCTAGAACTTTATGCTAATTATGAATATATATACTTTATGGGGTCTACGACGAATATTGAGGGATGTTACAAACGGAATGACAAAGTGAATATACCCTCCTTTCCAAGGTATACAAATATATATCGCAGCCGAGTTCCACAAAATGGAAACGTGCGTCCCGAAATTCACTCCATTCGGGCTGATATTAGCCATTATTTGGCAATATACCTGAAATCGGATTAGGGATATATATGGGAGCTATATCCACATCGTTGTCGTTCTCTATAAAATTTGGCAAAGGTATTTTCGAGCTTTATAAGATATCTGGTACCAAATATCATTGTTGTCGGAAGTACGTGAACGGACAGACGGACGGACTGACTGACATGCATAAATCGACTATCTCGCAAGATAGACCCATAGTTACTTTTGAGGATCTTCATAGAATCACTTTCTGAGTCGATTTATGCATATCAGTTCGTCTCTCTGTCCATGTATTTTTGTGAAAAAATGCAGATCGCATTCAATATCCGATTGAGATGAAATTTTCCAAACAATATTTGTTTGGCCCAAGGACGAACCGTAGTGAAATTTGTGAGAATCGGTTCAAATTTTGATATAGCTTCCATATATATCTTATTCCGATTTCGGGTTAATTGCGCTACAAATGGCACATCCAATCGAATTCAGTCTAGAAGTAAGTACATCAAATTTAGAGAAAATCGGTTCAGATATAGCTATAGCTCCCATACATATATTTCATCCGATTTGAGATTTTAAGTCCCTCACATGCGTAATATGCACTCCACAAGAATGATATTTGGTACCAGATATCAGATACAACTCAGAAATAAGTGTTTAAAATTGGCTAATATCAGTTTAAGGATAACAGCAAGTGCTTCAAATTTGGTGAAAGTCGGTTCAGATATAGCTATAGCTCCCATATTTATGTTTATCCGATTTGTGGTAATATGGTCAATATGCACTCCACAATAATGATATTTGATACCGGGCATCAGATACTGCTCGAAAATACCTCTGCCAAATTTTATCGAGTTCAAATGTTTATATAGCTTCGATATACATATTCATCCGATTTTACGGTAATTGTTCACCATATATGTAATATCCTCCCAAATTGAATAGATTATTTCACATTCACCCAAATTTTACCATTTGGTGAAACTCTGACAGGTATATATCTATTGCTCCAATAAGTATTTTTATGCCCTCAGCCATATGGCTAGAGAGGGTATATATATCATTTTATACGGCCAAAACGTGCCTCATCAAAATAACAGTTTTAGACCCTAGGTCTAATCTGTTTCAGGACATTTAGAGTCGATCTAGCGATGTCCGTCCGTCTGTCTATCGTCTGGCTGGCTGGTGCGCACTATAACTCTCGAAGGGAGTATCCGATTTGATCCAAACTTGGTATTATTGTCAAACTTAGATCGAGTTCGGAGATGGGCAATATCGGTCCACTCCTTCCGGTACCATCCACACAAAATGTCAACATTTTCAACGAAAATAATTTACTGCACAGAAAGAGAAAGGATAATACGAATTTGCTCCTCCACTCCACTCCTCCCCAACAAATGGTCAAAATTTTGAATATCAATTAAGCTCATAAGACGCGAAATTATACATCCCAATATTTCCATAAACACAAGATCTGTTATAAAGATGGTAGAGATCGAACCATTCCTTCGTGTATCTCCTCGACAAAGGGTCAAAGTTTTGAATAGCCAAAACGATCATAAAATCCGAAATAAGCATCCGGTTCTCTTCAAATTATACACATCACAATATTTTTATTCACCCAAGGTCTGGTGTGGGGATTGGATATATCGGTTCACTTCTTCTGGTACCTCCCCCACAAAGTTTAAAAATTTTGAAAATCCATGAAACTCATAAAACGCGAAATTAACATTCGATTCCATTCAGACTTGGAACATCTCAATATTTCTATCAACACTATATCTGTTACTAAGATGATAGAGATCGGACCATTTCTTCTGATACCTCCTCCTCATAGGGTTCAAGATTTTTGGAAAACAAAACGCTCAAAGAAGGCGAAATATGCATCCAACTCTCTTCAAATCTCTTCACACCCAAATATTTTTGCTAACGCAAGATCTGTTTTGAAGTTGATGTATATCTGCCAACCCCTTCGATCTTCACCAAATTTGACATACTTCTTTCTAGACTCAATTTGGTCGTAATTTCATCCCATTTGAGCATTTGGTGTACAATAAAAAGGCAAATCGAACGAAGTTATATATGGGAGCTATATCCAAATCTGACCCGATCTTGATAAAATTTAGCAAAGGTATTTCTGAGCTGTATTTGATTTTATTCCCAAAATATTGTTGTTACAGAGTGCATGTTACGGCTGCGTAGGACAAAACTAACAAATCGGACGGGGGGGCTATGGCTATATCTGAACAGATTTCGATCAAATTTGGCATACTTAATTTCAGGGCTAATTTGGTCGTGTGTGCAAAATTCCATATTATTTGGACTGATTTTACACATTTGGTGTACAATAAAAAGCAAATTGGACGAAGATATATACAGGGTTGCCCATATTCAACGGACCCATCTGGCAACGCCATAACTTTTGACAGAGATGTCACATCGCTTGATGACATACCGCGTTTGAAGCGTCAATCCAAGCAGATTTTTACCATGAACCAATACACACCACGTGAGCGCTCTGAAATAGTTGAAATTTACATTCAACAGAAGTCAATTGTGAAAAAAATGTGAGAAGTGCGCCTTCTAAGAACACCATTAAGCGTTTCTACGAAAAATTTGCGATTGGTAAGGCTCTTTCTAATCCGAAGAGGCCATATAAAAGTCGACCAAGGCGATCGGCCGAGAATATCGCTGCCGTACGAGCCAGTGTTGAGAGGTCCCCAAGAACATCGCAAAAACGCCGTTCTCCGCAGTTGGGCATGGCCACTTTACAACGGATTATTCGCATTGATTTCCATTTGTTCCCGTACAAAATTCAATTGACGAATTCGTCGATTGGAATGGGCCCAAAGGGTCCAAAGGTCCGTCGAATATGGGCAACCCTGTATAGAAACTATATCTAATTTTTTACCGATTATCTCCAATTTCAATAAGGTTCGTCCTTGGGCCAAACAAATGATTTGTGCAAAATTTCATTTGGATAGGGCAATAAATGCGAACTGTACTTTGTTCACAAAAATACATGGACAGACGGACAGAGGACGGAATGTGATTCTGTGCAGATCATCAAAAGGAACTATGGGTCTATCTCGTATCCTTTGGCCAGTTACAAACAAATGCTCAAAGACATAATACCCTGACCACCTTGTGTTGTATGGTATACGTATGGAACATTTCGGTCCGCTATATCTGTTACCATACGTATATTTCCACAAAAAATTCCACATACCTCGTATAAGTATAGAAGATAAGGTCCAGATCTGGCACGAATTGGTCAATATTGGCCAACTGCTTCGGAACCTCCCCAAGAAAAGAGTCAACAGTTTGAATAATCAAGGCTAGGGGTATAAATCTAAACTTTTTTTGCTACGGGAGCATAATGGTGTAGGGTGCCATATAGTCGGTCCCGCACGACTTTTGACCTTTCCTTACTGGTTTCAAATATATTAGACGTGATTTAAAAAATAAATATATAAATAAAATAAAAATGATTCAACTCAAGCTTCTCACATCTCTATATTTTTGACAATCTCATATCCGGCATACGGGTGGAATTTGTCGGCGCACTTATTTTCATATAATGCGTATGTAGTACCTTATATATACTACTCCGCTTTATACAGGTGAGAAATGAAAAATATCGGCCAACTCACTTTCGTTCCTTCCCCTAAAAAGGTTCTGAAATCATCTCGACAATTGGGTGCAAACACATCACAATTCTCAAAAAAAAAAACCTTTTTTTTCGAAATGTTGCAATTTTATCAGGTGTAAGGTGGTCTTTTCCAGAAATTGATATAGTTTCTTATCTAAAAGTCATAAATATTTCCATTATTACTCAACCCACTCCTACAAAACTTAAACCCCATGACATACATCTATTAGACAATCCTTTGTCATCAGTTCGAAAATATTTTCATAGCCGGAACAAACACCAACAACGCAATGCGGAAGTTTTTTTGTTTATTTAATGAGCAATACAAGTTGGTTGCATGGCGCCGAGAGATAGAGAGATATAATTTGTGGCACAAACATGAAGAAGACAATAACAATAACAACAACAACAAAACCACACTCGCAACAAACGTGCCATTCATACAACATCCATTACTGCAGTTTTGTAACATTTCATTTGGGTTGCAATATGTTGGAATGTTGCAAACAACATGTATGCAACCATGCAACACAATTGGACTAGAGCAAAAACTTGTTGCAACATTTGTTTTGCACTTAATTTTAATTGTGACAATTAATTTTTTGCTCTCTCTCTCAAATTACGTTTCAAATTTTATTTCACTTTCAATTTCAAAATAAAATTCACAAAATTTAAAACACCGCCTACCGAACTATTCGGGCGCCCGTTTCCGATGCGTTTTTATTTCCAAGAGAATTCAAACCGCCTTGTTTCGCTATCTAACCCCAACTGATTCAGTTGAATGCAGGCAGCTTTCGGAAAAGCCAGTTGGCAGTTGGGTTTAGTAGCACCGGGGTATCTTTGCAAAAAAACAAAAACCTCGGCTGCAGTTCGGCTGTTGTTTCAAAAAAGCCTTTGTAAATGGATATCGGAATTATGCGTTGATGGGTTCGTTTGTTCGTTTGTGTGTTGTGGATTTACTGATAGCCTATGTTCGTCATACATGCGGGTTAAAAGTTCGTTGGTTGTATTCTATTTTGCATTTAATTACGTTCTTATCGTCTAGGTGGTATACCCCCAGAATTGGTAATAGCATACTTTTGTTGAAAAGTGTTGAGCCGAAAAGTGGTATCATACCCCTACGCTACACCACAAGGTGGTCAGGGTATTATGTCTTTGTGCATTTGTTTGTAACGGGCAAAAGGAAACGAGATAGACCCATAGTTCCTTTTGATGATAGAATCGGATTCTGAGACGATTTATGCATGTCGATTCGATTCGATTTATGCATGTCCGTCTGTCCATGTATTTTTTTAAACGCAGTACAGGTCGCATTTTTTGCCCGATCCAGATGAAATTATGCACAAATCATTTGTTTGAACCAAAGATGAACCGTATTGAAATTGGAGATAATCGGTCAAAATTTAGATATAGCTCCAATATACATCTTCAACCGATTTCGGGTTAATTGTGCACCAAATAGCCAATATAAGTCCAAATGATCTAAATCTTGGCACATCCAACCGAATTCAGTCTAGAAGTAAGATCATCAAATTTAGAGAAGATCGGTGCGTATATAGCTATATCTCACATACAGGATGAGATGAAAAACTGCAACTGCAGCTTCAGACTGCTGTCATTTCTAAGCTACTCGTCCGACAGCTTTTAAAATTATTCCAGAGACAGCTCGTTATATTGTTTACAAGCGCACAAAAGCATTTTGGTGAGAATTTTCCAAAAAAAAAAGTTATTCGTGATGGAATTCAAGCGTGATAGTGTGATTCCTTTATATTTGGCTGGAGAACCACAAGTGGCTACTGTTAGAGCACTTCAGCATTTAAATGTGAATAAATATTTTGTGTCTCGTACCGTAATACTGGTAGCGTAGCCCGACGTCAAGGAACAACAGGAACGGACGGAAGAAGAAAAATGGCTCGTGAGCTGAACATATCGCAATATTCCATTCGGCAAATATTAAAAAATGAGCTCGGGGTAAAGCCATTGAAATTTATAAAAGTGCAAGAACTTACACCGCAACAGATAGAAAATAGACTCAAAAAGAGCTAAAGAGTTGCTTTGCTTGGCCGAAAGTGGTTAACTGCCGAATTCGGTTTTCTCCGATGAGAAAACATTCGTTATCCAGCAGAGCAGTTTGTAAACAAACAAGATGATCGTGTTTACTTGCCAAAGAGGTCAGCTGAAAATGTATACCTTCGGTTGGCCACCAGAACTCAAGCGCCGGTCATGGTGATGGTGTGTGCCGCCATAACAGCCGATGGTCCCTCTCCGCTCGTATTAACCGACCGTGGCATTAGAATAAATGCGGAATGTTATCGCGGAAATATTCTGGAGGTGTATTAAAGCCTTGGGCACACAAACATTTTGGCCGGACATTACAACATTACAATCCGGCTTGGACATTACAACAGGACTCATTACCATCGCACTCAGCACGCGCCACCAAAGAATGGTTACAAAATGAGATTCCTCGCTTCATTTCCAGCTTTTTTTTATTTTTCCAGTAGGCAGGTTAAGTTCGTAAATGGGCTATGTAGGTCCACGTTTTCATATAGCCCCCATATAACGGGACCTCCCCATATTCGGTATTTTGATGATTTTAACGACATTATTCACCGGAACTGTTTAAAATTTGGTATTCGAAGTTCGTAATGGATACTACAGCCTATGACAGAAAATTATCTGTGCAGGTTCACGTCTTCGTATAGCCCCCATATAAGGGTACCTCCCTATATTCGGTATTTTGATGATGTTAGCGTCATTATTCACCGGAATTGTTTCAAATTACGTATTTAGAGTTCGTAATGGGAAATACAGTCTGTGACAGAAAATTGTCTATGCAGGTCCACGTCTTCGTATAGCCCCCATTTGCCAGTACCTCCCTATATTCGGTATTTTGAAGAGTTTAGGTACAATACCCACCGAAATTGTTTGAGATGTCGTATTTAAAGTTCGTAATGGATGCTACAGCCTATGACAGAAAACTGTCTGTGCTGGTTCAGCTCTTCACACAGCTCCGATATAACGGTACCTCCCTATATACGATGTTTTGATGATTTTAGCTCATTATTCACCGTTTACTTCAAGTTTCGAATTTGAATATAATTATGACTTATGACAAACAATGCCTATGTAGGTCCACGTCGTATAGGCACCAAAATATCGGCTATATTCGGTATTTTTAATATTTTAACAGCAATTTTTAAGGATTTCCAAACCCGTTCCAAATGGTGGAGGGTATTCAAAATGCTTTTGTACGCTTGTAAACAATATAATGAGCTGTTACTGGAATAATTTTAACAGCAGTCGGACGAGTGGCTTAGAAATGACAGCAGCCTTTTGTTGGTTGTAGTTTTTCAAATGCCTCGGCAAATGTTAGTAGCAATTGAATCAGAGGAGGAGAGAAGCTCTACTAAATATGTTAAGTGGTGTAGAGTATCATAAAGTCGGCGCCGCCCCACTTTAGGACTTTCTTTACCGGCTTTTTTTTTTCAATGCGTCACAACCAACCAATTGTAGTCGCAACAAAAATATCGCATTTCTGTTCTATTTTGACCAGATAATTTTATGCAAATTTGATTGGTTTGGCATATTTAAATTGTTTTCAAAAAAAAAAAAACATGGACTTTATTTTGTTGAAATATTCGAAAACTTGCTGTGAACAGGTCAATCACTTGACTTCGTCGTTCTGTTTTTAATTTTTTTTTTTGGGTGTTAAAACAAATTAGATATGTTCGAATTTGAAAAGTTCGAAACGCAATTCTGACGGGGGTCTGCCGGGCATAAATGTTGTTCTATGTGTTCTTTCATAGACATTCCGTCTGTGTTCACATGAGACAAGACAACTAATAGCGCGTTTTCATAAAAACTTTAGTTCGGATTAAGTCTTATTATCGGGATTTATTAGCTTCATATGGTATTATTCAATTAAATTTATAGAGTGTCTATACTCCAAAAAAAAAAAAAAAAAAAAAAAAATATTGAAAGCAAAATCTAGCAGATTATGACAGTACAGTTTAAAATTAAAGACATGTATATCGACTTTTCAAAATGTTTACAGCTGAAAGTAACCTAAAAGGGGGGAAAGGATCTTCCCTCTTAATCCAATACGTGGATTATTTTGGTCCTTTTTTCCAATACGGTTAAAAGTCCGTTAAAATGAGATCATAAAGACAAGAAAAGTCTGCATCTTACCTAAACGCCTGGAATTCCTTAAAGTTTATGTAAAATTCTCCTTCGATTCTAAGGCACAATCTTCATTAAAACTACATTTTTTGGAAAAGGTGTTAAAGGAAAAAACAGTAAGGAAAAGTCAAAAGGGCCGACTACACCACTATGCATATTTAGTAGAGCTTCCGCAACAAAATAATTTATTTTTTAAACCCTACAACACTATGTGTTGGGGGTATTATAAGTTTGATTGGGCCAAAAATTATGTAACACCTCTAAATATTGGTTTCCCACATAGGAAAGTATATATGGATCTTCCTATCTCGCCGAGCTGAGTCGATCTAGCTATGTATGTCCGTCCGTCCGTCTGTCCATGTTAATTTGTAATCACTCTACAGGTCGCAATTATGGCCCGATCTTCACGAAATTTAGAATAGAGGTGGGGCTAGGGTCAGAATAGAACCCTATTTCTTCTGGATATGATCGCATAATATTTAGGGGTTGAAATGGACCAAAAACTGAAAAAATTCCTGATTTTGCAGTTGCTCTACAGGTCACAATTATAGACCAATCAAAAAGGAAGTTAGCATGGGGCTAGAGGGTAGAAGCCTTCCAATTTGGATGGTCATCGCGTAATATGTAGTGGGTGAAATAGGCCACAACATTTGTTTTAAATAAAAGTCAAATTTCCCATTAAACCGCGAATAGTTTTGATCCCGGCGAAATCACAATGAACGAAAAGGCCAATTCTGACCGTTACGTAGATGCCGATAGTAAATATACTGGATATATATAGCGAAATATATACAATATGTATATACAAAGGAAGGGGATGTTAGCTAGAATGGTTATATCTCATGAATGGCTGCACCGATTTTGACACATTTTGTCAATTCAGAATGCCCTCTTGACATAAAAGTATAAAATCTAAAAAAATCGCATAATAAGATGCCTATAATGGTGATAATATTGATTTTGTACTATTATGTGATTTTTTTTATTTTTTCATATTTTCATCGCATGCGATTCTTTCAAATTGACTTATAATATTGAAGTGTAGATTTTGTAATATTTTTCCACCTTACAACACAGGTTGGGGATACAATATACAGATTGCAATTATCGTCCGATCCTCACGAAAAGGGAAGGGTTAGGCTCAGAAGGGCTAGGCCTTTTATTTTCAAAGATGTCCGCGATATATTTAGGGGTTGAAATGGACCAACAACTAAAAATGTTTCTGATTTTGCAGCTGTTATAAAGGTCTTAAATAGAAACCAAAGGACACGAAATCTCGCATGAAGTTAGAGTTTAAGATAGCGGGTAGAATGGATCACTATTTTTGTCTGAAAAGTACCAACATTACTTACAGGCGATATCCGAAATACACAAAAGGTGAACTTCTGGCTTTTTTTTGCTCATTTCGTTGACGAATATAGCCAAATATCGTAGACAAGAAAATCCTACAGATGAGTCTAAATTTTGAGATACAGAGGGGTCTCTTGTTTTTGGAGATTATCGCAAAATAAACCAAAAACAGAAAAAATGTCCTAATCACACAATTGAAGCCAATCGACACGCATTGAAGCCACAACAACTAACAGCACGACGGAGTACGTAAATATAGGGCAAATGTCCCTGTTCAAAATGCTAAGGGTAATATCTGGGCAGTGCTC